GGCACATCGGGGGCAGCCTCGGCGCCCTAGAGTTTCGGTCAGACTGGATGGAATGGTTTGTTTGCAATCTGGGGATAATCTGCTCACATACCTTGCCTTTCTTTTTCTTCTTCTTGCTGCTTGCAGTGGTAAAACCGGCCCAGCTGTCATCGTTCGCTCCATCGGCATCGTCCGCCCAGCTGAGGTTGTTGCTGGCTGCAGCTTCTTCAGCAGCTTTCTTCTCCTCTTCCTCTTTTGCCCTTTTCTCCTCCTCTTCCTTGGCTAGTCGTTCCTCTTCTTCCTTGGCCGCCTTTTCCTCCTCCTCTTTCTTCAGTCGCTCTTCTTCCTCCTGCTTCTTCTTCTTTTTCTTGCTCTTTGTGGTGGTGGTAGCCCACGCGTCCCAATCATTGTCCTCTTCGTTGTTCCCGCCATCTCCACCATCTCCACCGTCGCCGCCGTCGCCACCTCCGCCACCTCCGTTGTCGTCCCCTCCATTGCCTCCGTCGCCAGCATCACCGCCCCCCTCATTGTCATTATTATCGCCGTTCTGGTCGTCACCACCTCCCTGATCTTGCTTGTCCCCGCTCTCATCCGGCGGTGGGCTTTTCTTACGTTGTGGCTGTGGGGGGCTCTTTTTCTTCTTCTTTGCGTGTTCTCGAACACCCTGAACCTTGTCAAAGTCGATCGTTCGAGACGTGGCTTTCCTTTTATCCAAACTCGATGCGGGTTGCGCTGGTGCCGAGTCATCGGTCAGGTCTTTCCGACAAGCGAACGGAGCTAGAGTAGAGTAGTCCGGGGGGAGATCGGTCACAGCTTCGTTGTACGAAGGCGGGGGGTCCTCGTAATACCCATACTCGGGCACCTGGAGATCGGATTCATCTAGTGCTGTGCTCTTCAGTACGTAGAAAGTCTTTTCGGACGACTCTGATATACTCTTCTAGTACGGCATTCCCAGTTAGCCTTTTTTGCGCTGAATTTTGACAGTGTATATGACGGGATACTCAGATAGCCCAAGTCAAGAGAGGCTAGGTCATACCTTGCTATTGCCCTTCGCAAAGGCTCTTTTGTAATTGATGGTTGCAGCGATCTCTCGAATCAATGAGGCGATAGATACCGTGCCCCGATCAAGAGGACCCCAGGGTGATCTCACGCCGCTCTTCTTCTCTGTCCGGCATGTTGGCCAACACTCCATCGGAGTGCGGGAATCACCGCATTCCGACTCTGCGAATTGGCCTGGGTCGAGCATGCGCACGGTCTCCATGCTGGTAAGAGAGAAATAAAGCGCATGAGTCTTGAAGGGCGATCGGCCTGCTCCTCTTGAAGAGGCAGTTATCTCCCGTCACCGCAGACTGAAAACACGGGATCTATACCCTGTCTCCGCGTAGAGATTGGGTATCAGGTGGTAGAGCAATCCAGAAATGGAGAGTGCGCCTACAATGGACACCAAATGAAAGGGTTTAGAAAACTGAGAAAGCCTCCCCTTGATATAATTAACAAGCGGCCAGCGCAATCGCAGCCACACGACGCGCAAACTCAGAGGGTCAAAAACGTCACGCTGACGGAGAATTGCAGCCAAAGAAAAGGGGGTGTAGTGGGCCTGCAAGCCTGAGAAAATGCAAAAGACCAAGAGATAAGCGAGCACGAAAAAGGTATATGTTGGAATATGCGAGGAGAAAGCTCGAGAATGATGACGGCAAAGGTTCAGTAGAAAGGGAGAGTAGGGATGCGGAGGCAGGCCATCGAGTCGATGGACCACAAGGCGGTGGACTGGAAAGAAACCAAAGAAGAAAGAGAGCGCAAATCTGCTCAATCAAGATCTGGATCCTTCTCCAGAGAATGATTGGGGATTGGCGGGGGTGCGATGCGAAAGCTAGCTCTGGAATGTAAGCTAGTACCGGGGCTTCAAGACAGGGACGTCAGCCAGCGATCGCGGGTAGGAAAGGGAGGAATTGGGGGAGATGATGGTGGAGTGAAAAGAATCACTGCGTGCAAATCGGAAATTTGGAAGGTCTTACATTTTGTCCGTCTATGCGATTGACAAGAGTGATTTGCTCCAGTCAAATGATGAACCAAGAAAAAAGAAAAAAAAAAAGAAAAGAAAAGGAAGAAAAAGAAAAGTACTTAAGACCGCGATGAATTCCCCGGGGCCACAACGGAGTGTATAGTAGAGTTGATAGGATGGCGGTGGCTGGGGATGGGACGGCACCGACCACCGGGCTAAGAGATCGCTCAGACTGGGGGGAGGGAAATAACAACGCGTGCAAGAGAAAAGGAAACAATCAGAGTCGTCACCGCTGATCGAACCTGGTCGAGTAGTGCATCAGCAACAATCAAATTACGAGGGTCGAAGGGCACGAGAAGCAAATAAGAAAGATGGCCAGTGGTGAGAAAGAGAGATTGAGCCCAAGTCACGCAGGCACAAGCCAGTCACACTCCGAGGGGGCGGTGGGCAAATGCGCCTATCGATAACGAGGCCACCCCTCCTTTTGGCCTTTTTGGCTGGGTGATCGGAGGAGGGGGAGAGAAGGAACGAGGGGAGATGGCGAGGAAGACACTTACTACTTCTAGTTAAGGGATGTTGGTATAAGTACCGCAGTAACTTCCTGTCAATGTTATTGTTGTTGTTGTTGTTGCTGCTGCTGCTGCTGCTGCTGCTCCTGTTGCTCCGTTCTTGTCTTGTCTTGTTGGATGAAGATGTCTATGCTTCCAGACTCACATATAACAGGAAAGATATCCCCTGGACCGAATTGACTCATGCGCATCGGAACCCCAAAGATGCCTTACATTACCGATAGCGGAGCAAGAGGGGAAATATGGAATGTATTCGTTGTCCACCTCAAGTGGGGACGAAGGGATGGAAATAGTATACAGACTGTCAACACTCGACCTAAAAGGAACACCCGTTCCTTGGTTCGACCTGCGGGCCTGTAGTCAAGTCAATTCAGCAAAACACAGATCAATGTGCAGTACAGTACAGCACAATGATGCTCAGTATGCAATGGCTCATTCCTGAGGCCAAGCAGCAGGAATCCACTCTCGACCACTGTCTGTGCTACATAGTACGACCGACCCATCAACCCCACGTGCCTCAGACATGTCTTCTCAACACTACCACCGCAGCAGCAGCAGCAGTAGTAGTTCAACTCAACATGAACCACCAGATTGAAACTGCAGGGCTTTCCATCATCCGACATCCTGCAATGCAACCATCAGGCAGCCAAAACACTAAGAAAAAAAATGTGCCCACCAATACCCTAGGTATACATTATTCAGCGAGGAAAACTCGGGTTGCATTGAAAAATTAGGGATGCAGTTCTTCACCGCATCGAAGGCGAAGAATAGGCCCGAGCCTATCAAACGCGTGGGCCACTCTGAGAACCCAACGGTCCCAAACCGTGACCCCATCTGACGCCGGCCTCCGCTTGACTTTGCTTTTTCGGTGTTAGTTGATGCGATTGCCTTTACTCTTCAGAAGGGGTTTCGTCCGGCTACTGTAGGTGTATCCCAAAAGTGTTTAGCATTGACAACTGTTCTTGTCGATACCCGCTCAAAGTGCTTGATCAGGAAGTAGATTGTCTTGTCCAGGGTACTCAGTATTAAGTAATTCTCCACCACTTTTACCTGTAAGTAAGCTAAACCACCGGCTCTCCCGATATTCCGTCCAGCGTCGAAGTCATCTGGATGCAAGCCCCATCCCCCCGTCCCACTTCAGTTGGCAACACCGCAGGGTGTCTGTGTCTCTTGTTTTCGTGTCCGGCGTCTACCTCAGAACGTCTCACCATCTTTCTCCAGACGGTGATACAAGCGGTGCGACTGCGGTTGAACTAGTCAATTGGTCTGCAGGGTGGAAAAAGAAAACAAGGAGAAAGGAAGAGTCATGAGGAGCTTTGGCCGAAAGCTAATACCCCCGAATCTACCGCCGCAGCCACCGCAAAACCATCATCATCCCATTGTTACTCTCTTAGGTTCAGCCTTATTGTAGTTCAATGCCTTGGAATCCGGAGCTTTCAGAGCTTTCAGAGCTTTCAGAGCTTTCCCCGCGCGTAGAGGGCTTGGGAATTCTCCTCCGGATTGAACTGAAGCTCTTTGGCAAAGATCGCGAGTGGTTTGTCGGCTATACTATACGGTACATAAATGCGTTCTCATGCATAGGTCCAACCAGGGAACTGCAATACCATCAGCGATTGCACCGTGCGGAAGCATCAATCTACCCCCAGCTCACTCTCCCATGGCTCTTGCACTTCGAGAATTGTTCTCGAAAAACGCGCAGCAGTACACCTGAAAGGCCCATCGAAGACCCTCCAAGACCATGTAGACAAACCCTTGGAATGTAGCCTGCCTCAACAACACCTCAAAGCTATGCTTGTCAAGCAACGACCACCTCCACCAAATGCTACTAAAAAGCCAGTCTACACTCCGAAATAATTATTGCAAGGAGACCCATCCCCAATCGCCAAGCCAGCAGCCCCCAGCTCCAATCCCCCGAAGTACATAGTAAGAAAAAAAAATTCCCGCAACGCCATTTCCGCTGATCGACAGTACGGATCTCGCGGGCCCGACACAAAAAGATCCTAAGAGTATATATGCAGGACAGATAGCTCAGGGTTTCCGTCCATACAGTCCCCTCGAGAAAGATTCTCGTCGATTGGGGGTTGCGTGCATGCGGCTTCTGTAATCTATCCTGGCAGCTGCTGCAGCGGGCCTAGACCGACCACATCTGTGAGTCACTCTCTCTTGCCCTGCGTTGCTGGCTACTACCTCACCCAAATACATGAGATCCGATCCGGTGGTATACTGTACCTGATGTGGTATTTTCCAATTTGTTCATGCCCAAGATCCATCTGAGCACATCTGGATCTGCCGGAGCCTTCTTCTCTGCGGCTCGAAAGAGGGATTGCGTCATGACGTACGTTGTGATGAGGAGATCCGGTGCGTGGCCTTGGGGTATCAGGGCTGGACCGAAATAACCCGAGATTTGGTTATTGAAATGAGTTCAAGCGCAGCTGAGGAAACAATCTCACCCGAAATCATTCATTCTGTTTGGTTTGGTTTTTCTTTGGTATATTACAGATGGTGACTTACCCTCCCCAAATGAACTTGGACAAACACAAGACAGGACAGCTGCGGAACCGATACTAGAAGACAGCACAGAAGAGAGAAAAAGACAATTGTTTGTTTACACAATGTCCCCAGATCCTCCGAGCCTAATAATCCATTAGAAGTCCCCATATTAAAATAAGTTGCATTTCATTGCTCAACAGAACGATCAGCGCAGGTTTCCAGTGTCATGGTGTGAGGATGGTCGTATAATGGGCTCCTGGTCCCTATCCTTACTCGCGTCGCGCCCTGGGAAGTTTCAAAGGCTCGTCGCCATAGACCTCCTTATACTCGCGAAGGTAACGCTCTTTGTCCTCTCGGTAAGCCTGGTCGTAAGCCTGCCATCTGGTGTTAGTGCTCGCCAACGCGGCCACTGCTACGATTTGATCTTGAACATTACCTTTTTCTCCTCCGGCGACAAGGCCTTCCACAAGGCACTGATACGGTGACTCCGCTCAAGCAAGGGAAGATTGGCGAGGCTAGGATCTTCCAGGTATTGAGTCTTGGTGAAGTGGGCATAAGAAGGTACAGGGCGGGCAACCAGGCGAGGGTCGTCGATCAGGGTAAGTCTCGATTGCCGTTTGCCGGTAAGTTTGACAAGCTTGCGCCGGGCAATGTTAGCATCGCGGATTTGAGCAGGAGTGTAGGTCTTGATCCAATCAGCCATGATTTGCTCGTTCAATTTCTTGTTCTCCTCCGCAATGCGTTCGTATTCCTGGTTTGAAGCCAAAATATTAGCATCGATCTTTCATGTATAGCAAGAAGCTTAGCAATACCTCCGCCTGCTCAGATCGCAGGTTCTGAATGTGCTCTTGGAGTTTGTGGATCATATATACGCCCTTCACATGTAATCCCTCCTTGGCAAGTAATTTCCCGGCCTCTTGGCGAGCCACAGCAAACGGCGCCGTGGGATGCAACCGAGGCGGGGAGAGACATAGGGCCTTGCATTCTCTGATCTGCCTCTTCTTCTCGCGCAGACTCAGCTTCTCTTCCTGTTCGGGAGTCAGAGCTTTCTCCCGTCGCGGCTTCGGCTCCTTCTTCGTAGCCTTCTGCGTCTTTCCTGTCCCCTTCGTCTTCTTCACCTCGGCGGTCTCCTTAGTCTTGGTCGCTTGCACCTTTCGGATCTTGGGGATCGATTTGGCCGCCTTGGGCTCTGAAGATTTGGCCTGGGCTGCAGTCGCGTATGTGTTCGTTAAGCTTCGGGACAGAAGAGGGGCGCGTGCCGTAATTGGACCGACGAGCCGACCACGGGACAACATCGAAAGACGTTGAACATGGGCGTGAGAGATCATCTGACGGACGGGACGTGAGAAAGCATCGCTGATGTTAAGATGCTGGAGGAACACGCCTCCCTGGCGAACGAGTGTCGCGGGCATGGTTTCGGAACTAACGCTTGGAGGTCAACCAACGTAAACACGGGAATATTTATCGGAGGCAAAGATTGAGGGAAATATTCCGATAGGAGACAGGCAGAGGAAGAGAGATACCTACCAAATCTTTTGTGCGAAACAGTTCTCCTTCCGTATTGAAGGTAGTCTGATTCTGTTTCTCCTTCGCAGGGGTACAGACAGAGCTCACTGACGGAACCGGAAGAGGTTGGGAAGGTCAGGTCACGGGCGGAGACTGCAAGGCACGCCCATAAGCTCCTAGTTATCGGGAAGAGCTATCACACGTGACTTTGTCGGTCGCAGTCCGCTGTCTATCAATCACGTGATGAACGACCCTGCTACCTGCAGCCCGTCCGACTCTCCCAATTAATGCCGGGCCAAGAATACAACCCAACGGAGATACAACATCTACCTAGCCTTCTCCGAGACTGAGACTTTGCCCACCCCACGCAACATCGGCATACTAATCACCCGGTATACTTGGAAAAGAACTGAATGGAAGGGTAAACATCCACTTCACTATCCTATCCAAATCCAAGTGCTCGAGCTTTCTTGAGTCTCAGTAATACTCACTCATCGTTGGCCTGCAACAATGGCTCGCCACGGGGATACTCGCTCACCATCACCTGTAGGCAGCACATACTCCTCATCCAGACGGAGTCGCAGAGACGATGATCGCTATGAGAGGAGCAGGCGCGACGATGGCAGGAGTTACCGCCGCTCACGCAGTCCGGAGGTGAGTCCTTGTGCCCAAATTCGTCTTATCTAGTTGGGGGCTTTCGTCTAATCTGTTCTCCCCCAATTCAGCGACGCTATCGTGACCGTGAACGCGACCGCGACCGAGACTCCTACCGGAGACGTGACCGCTCATTAGACAGACGTGACGACTACCGCGATGAAGACAGTTATCGCCCCAGCCGTCGGGATCGGTCTCGCGATCGGCGCCGATCAAGAGATCGAGACGACCAGCGGGATTACCGCCGAAGAAGCCGCGATAGGGACTATCGAAGCAGGCGAGAAGATTCCCGTGATCGGGCACGGAGACGGACAGATGATTCTGCTGACTTGAAGCACAAGTCTAGACGGGACGACAGCCGGGATCGGGCCAGACGCTCGCGGTCCAGGTCTCGTGATGTAAGCTAGCCCGGCCCTTGATCACCCTACGAACAGATACTGACATGTTCATCGTAGGCATCGAAACCGTCGACTCCAGCAACACCCGCCGCCCAAACAGAAGACGAGAAAAGAGCGGAACGGCGCGCGAAACTGGAGGCATGGAAACAGAAACAGGCCGCCGAGAAGGAACGCAAACAGCGAGAAGCTGCGGCGGCTGGTGGAGCTAGAAGTATTCTAGAGGAGATCGATAGAAAGTCGGGTCTATCACCGGCTGTCGGTTCGCCTCAATCCCCGGCAACGCCAGCTGTCGAAGCGGCACCCGCTACGTATGCAGGAAAGTTTGATCCGAAGGCCATCGCAAAGAAGGGAACATCAGCAGCTTCGCCCGCACCCGCTGTGTTAGGCAATGATGTTGCTGTTCCACTGCCGTCAAAGCCCTCTGCCACGACCTCTGGCAGTCCCGCTCCGGCTACGAGCAGCTCTTCATGTACGTTCCCGCCTCCCATCTACGCTTATTAGTTCACGACTAACCGAGCATTCCAGCCACTCTGAAGGCCAAGGGTAATGTAGGAAGATTTGGGCTAGGAACCAGGCAGGCTGGGGAGGCCGAGAAGTCCACTGCTACACGAACCTTGGGATTTGGAGAGGAGGAGTCAACGCGACGGAAGCTCGAGAGGCTACCCACCCCACCTTTAGAGGATTCGAAAGATACAAACGGAACTACAGGTGTTGCGGCTGAAGATGATGACGAGGATGATGTTGACATGCATGAGGGGGGCACCGAAGAAGAGAATGCGGCAGCTGCGCGGGCAGCGGCCGAAAGACGAGAGGAGCGTTTGCAGTTAGCTCAATCCACAGACACCTCGCAAGAAGCTAATGGTGACACTGTCATGGAAGACGCAGCTGACAACCAGGCTGGCGACAACATGGAAGTTGACGCTCAGGAAGAAGAGGAGGAAGTTGATCCATTAGATGCTTTCATGTCCGAACTAGCCGAGACTGCTCCTCCGAAGAGAGCGGGTGGCGCGAAGTTCTCGCGCGCCAAGGAACAACAGCCGGAGGCCATTTTCGGTGACGAGCACGATGTCGACGTGACCGCCGTCGGCGAAGGAGATGCCGATGACTTCCTTGCGATTGCCAACAAGGCGAAGAAGAAGAAGGACATCCCCGCAGTCGATCACCAGAAAGTAGAATACGAGCCGTTCAGGAGAAAGTTCTACACTGAACCCTCCGATCTGGCGCAGATGTCTGAGGAGGAAGCCGCAAGCCTGCGGCTGGAACTCGACGGCATCAAAGTTCGTGGTGTGGATGTTCCGAAACCGGTGCAGAAGTGGTCTCAGTGTGGATTAGGCGTACAAACTCTGGATGTGATTGAAAAGCTTGGGTATGAGAAAACTACCTCCATTCAAGCGCAGGCCATTCCTGCGATCATGTCTGGCCGAGATGTCATTGGCGTGGCGAAGACAGGTTCGGGCAAAACGATTGCGTTCTTGATTCCCATGTTCCGGCACATTAGGGATCAACGCCCGTTGGAGAATATGGAAGGGCCGGTCGGTCTAATCATGACGCCTACTCGCGAGCTGGCAACACAGATTCACAAGGACTGCAAGCCCTTCCTTAAAGCCCTTAACCTTCGGGCTGTCTGTGCGTACGGTGGAGCTCCCATCAAGGACCAGATTGCGGACCTTAAGCGTGGCGCTGAAATAATCGTCTGCACGCCCGGTCGTATGATCGACCTTCTCGCAGCTAACGCTGGCCGAGTCACGAATTTGCGTAGGGTCACGTACGTCGTTCTCGACGAGGCCGACCGCATGTTCGACATGGGATTCGAACCGCAAGTGATGAAGATCATGGCCAACATCCGACCCGATCGGCAAACTGTCTTGTTCTCCGCCACTTTCCCGCGGAACATGGAAGCGCTGGCTCGCAAGACTCTGACCAAACCGATCGAGATTGTGGTCGGTGGTAAGAGTGTTGTCGCTCCCGAGATCACGCAGATTGTGGAGGTTCGCAACGACGACCAGAAGTTCGTACGCCTGCTGGAATTGCTTGGCAACCTGTACTCGAACGAAGAGAACGAGGATGCGCGGGCTCTCATCTTCGTCGATCGGCAAGAAGCCGCCGATACCCTCCTCCGCGAGCTCATGCGCAAGGGCTACCCATGCATGTCTATCCACGGCGGCAAGGATCAGATCGATCGTGACTCCACGATTGAGGATTTCAAGGCTGGTATCTTCCCGGTTTTGATCGCTACCTCGGTTGCGGCGCGCGGGCTCGATGTCAAGCAGCTTAAGCTTGTCGTCAACTATGATGCGCCGAACCATCTCGAAGATTATGTTCACCGTGCTGGACGTACCGGACGGGCTGGAAACACCGGAACAGCGGTCACTTTCTTGACGGAGGACCAGGAACGATACTCGGTCGACATCGCGAAAGCGCTCAAGCAGAGTGGACAGAAGATCCCTGAACCCGTGCAGAAGATGGTCGACTCGTTCTTGGAGAAAGTCAAAGCAGGCAAAGAGAAGGCCAGCGCATCCGGCTTTGGTGGTAAGGGTCTGGAACGACTGGATCAGGAGCGTGATGCTGCGCGTCTGCGTGAACGGCGCACGTACAAGACCGGCGAAGAAGGGGAGGAGGAAGAGGAGAAGGACGAGAAGAAGAACGAACAAGCCGAAGACCGGTTCAGCAAGGCCATCTCATCCGTCCAGGCCACGGCGTCAGCGTCGACCAGTATGCCCGGGGTTCCCAAGGGCATTGATTTGGATGGCAAGATCACGGTGCACAAGACTGAGAAGGATCCCAACAGCACGTCGAAGAACCCCCTGGACAAGGTGGGCTCGGCTGTTGCGGACATCCATGCTCGTCTGAGCCGTGCGGGCGTGATGAGATCCGGAGTGCCCATCGACAACCGTGGGCCGGATGCAGGTGCTTTCCATGCCACCTTGGAAATCAACGACTTTCCCCGTAAGTTCATCCTCCACCCAATTCCATCTACACATACTGATCCAGGCTACAGAGAAAGCTCGCTGGGCTGTCACCAACCGCACGAACGTGGCGAAGATCCTCGAATCCACGGGCACGTCGATCACCACCAAGGGCAGCTTCTATGCGACGGGCAAAGAGCCTGGTCCTGGCGAGAACCCCAAGCTGTACATTCTGGTGGAAGGCGAGACCGAGCTGGCCGTCACGAACGCCATGCGCGAGTTGATGCGGCTGCTGAAGGAGGGCACGATCGCGGCGGCGGACAGCGACGCCCGCGCGCCGGTGGGTGGACGGTACAACGTGGTCTAGTGGCGAGTTCCGGAGTGTATTATAGAAACGGTGACCCATGTTTTATGTCTGCATTGTAGTAAAAGTAGCCTGCTAGGGTATTCACCTTGCGCCATGCGCCATGCGCCATTCTTATACGGAAATCCATATATCACCGCACATATGAAGAGACAAATCCAAACCAACAGCTGCTTAGCGTAAGCCAACAGCACGCGGCCCAAAAACAACCCACCCACCATAACCATCCACAGTATGTACACACCCACACCTAACCCTCCCTCGATCAAAGCTCACTGCCACCGCCGTGCCTCAGCCGCCCCATCCGCATCACGCGCCGCCACCTCCGCCCGACTCGCCTCACTCAGCGTCTGCGCCTGGGTCTGCGTCTTCTGGGCGGCCAGCTTGGACCCCAATTTCCCCTTGTTGGCCGAGTGATTCGCCGACTCGGCGCGTCTCTATACCCAGGCGGAGATAAATCAGCGGCTGTTCCATCTTCCCTTCTCACTCTAACCCTTCAACGGATCATGGGGAAATCGTCGAAACGGAGAGCGTGGTAGTGGCAACGGTCAGTGGTTTTGGTAGTGGGTGAACTCACCTGCGCCGCCAACGCAGCATTGGCCCGCGCGTCCGCGGTGCCAGCACCCGGTGTCGAGGAGGTCTTCGCGCCGCCGGAGCCAGACCCAGCCCCCGCTGCCCCTCCTCCTCCTCCGCCGACTGTCCTTCCCCCCGACCCGGAGCCCCAGTTTGTGTGCGAGGTGGATTTGGGGAGCGGGGCGCGGGGGCCGGAGGGGCCGGCGGGGGCGGCGGTGGTCGAGTCGGTGTTGGCGCCGGCGCCGAGGACGCGACCCGGTCGGGCGAAGGCGTCGGGCTCGTTGGAGGATTTCGAGCAGAGGTTTCCCATTTTTGGTGTTGGGGTGGGTTGAGGTGAAGGTGGAGGTGGAGGGAAAGGTGGAGGTAGTGTCAGTGGTAGTGGTAGTGGTAGCGGCTCTGGGGTCCGAGGTGCCGTGCGGGGGTGAGATGCGTGGCTGGTGTTTGTTTGCTTGCTTGTTTGTTTGCGGAGGAGGAGGTTCGGTGCGCTTCAGGTTGTGTTGGAGGGTATGGATATAGTATAGCAGGTTGTGGCTGAATGGGTGTGACTCTAGTAGAGTAATAGGATGCAGGGTCCGTTCGATGGGGTCGGAATTGAGGATGCCTAGGATGCCTGGGATGCCTGGGATGCGGCGGCAATGCGGCGGCGATGCGGTGGTGCAGGGCCCGAAGCACGTAGCCCGGGGCCCGGGGCCCGTAGGCAGCCGCCGGCACGTGCAGGAGCCGCTAACTCAACGGTCGGAAGGAGCCTTACTTGGGTTAAGGTGGCTGTTGCTGATTTGATTATGGCGCTGTCGTTGGTGGGATTTCTCTCTTGATAACGGTTGTACTCGTAGAATAGTAGGTAGTGGTTAGTGGGCTATTCAGCTAAGTCTCTCCGGAGTATTACTGTTTCAGTCTGGCCAGTTGATGGAGTTAGATAATAGTACTCAGTAACATAATATACTGTGGTTATTGTGTCGAATATTCCATGCCACTCAGTATTATCAGGATGCTGAACCACCAACCGCAGGCATCGATATTCAAGGCGGCAAGTGATTTGGCGGGCAGAATCGATCCCAGAGATTTCCCGCCCGGCATCTCGACCGCCCCATGCAAGTCTGAGTGGATGAATCGACTCCCTTCGCAGACTTGGACCGATTGACTCTCCCTGCTGTTCCTCATCATTCAAAGCAGACTGAATCAGATATGAATGACTTGAGATAAATCCCACCCATTCAATCGTCTCCATGAAACCACCCGGAACGACAAACTCTGACAAACACGGGGGAGCGATTGGCTGGCGGGCCAGACATGACGCCATCTCCCAAGGTCCTCGTTGCTCGACCCCTCGTCCACAAGGTCCTCACTTTTTTCCCCTCCGATTAGATCTTCTTCCCGTATTGCGACCGTATCGGTACCGAAAATACCTGCCCTATTCGCCCTACTCCCTACCCTCCACCCCCCCCAAACTCGGCCTTGACTCCTCCCCGAAAGTTCCCTGAAGAATTGGTACTCGTTACTCCGTACCTCCACCTGGTATCTGAGTTCAACATTATCCTAGACTCGGATCCCTACATGCGCCCTCATGCTGGCCCCCAAGGTCCTCAGGCTCTTTTGCCCGCTCACCCCAGGCGGTCTGTCTCTTCTCTTCACGCCTCTTGGTGACTCTTGCGCATAGTCTCTGTCGCACCACAGGGTTTTAAGCTACCGCTGGGCGATCCATTGCAGATTCTGCTGCTCTAATTGGTATGTGACCTGTCATCCCCGCTCGCGTGGTGGAGGAAGAGGAGGAGGAGGACGAGAACTGGGCTGACTTGCCACACCTGCAGTGGGCGACCGAATACCCCCAAATAGTCTCCAGAACAGACCATCAGTCTATTTCCCACAAGTCCCCGCTCCTATCGGTCGTCAGGGCGGAGGGTTCCGTAAGACCGTCACTCGATCGACTCCTTGGTTCTTTGTCTTTGCACGGAATTTCCATCCATGACCTTCCCTTCACACGACACCATGGCCTCGCACACGAAGAAAGACGATTTCTGTCTGGAGTGCCACTGGGAGGCATTCCATCTGGATGCCAAAGACCCGGAGGAGCCTACCGGGGCGGAGGCTCCAGGGCCTCAGTGGAATTGTTCCGAGGAGGATCAGGTGCTCCCCCACTGTGAGGTCGGGGAGGACTGCCCCGTGGACGACGATTGCTGTGACATGGACAATTGCTCCGTCACCTGCCCGTCGGTCTGCGACGGGTTCGTCGACTGCGACGAGGCCGCCGTGTGCTCTGTATCACATTGCGACGATGCCCACTGCAACGATACCCATTGCGACAGCACGGACCCGGTGTGCTTCGACGAGCACTGCTTCGGCAGCGGCAGCCACGCCGACGGCGAGCACAGCCTGGAGGCGTTATTAGCGTTGGGGTCGCCGCTGAACCTCGAGTCCAGCGACCTGCTGTCGCCGACCGCGCTGCCCCCGGTGCCGGGCGAGCAGCCCAAGAGCGTCGGGCTCCCTGCGGCCCCCGGGCTCGTGGGTTCCACAGATGCCTTCTTCGCGCCCTTCGCGCCTGTCCCGGTGTCACACTGTCACGCTCACAGCCACCAGCACTTCCAGTGCCACGACTTCTCCAAGGACGCGCACCACGCCTGGTATCCGATGCCCACCTCGGTCAACCCGGCGGACGTCTTCCACATGATGGGGGTGTGTCCGGACCTGACGGCCTGCCATCACCAGTATCATGTGCAGCAGGTGCCGGACTGCAGTGAGCATCCCAAGCCCACGGACGATCCGGCCTCGAATTCATTTACCTGCTTGCACATCAACCCGAACCCGAACCACACCCATAGCCACGATCACGGCCACGGCCATTCCCACGGTCACAGCCACATCCCCCACATCCACACCCACCATGCGACCGAGACGGCCGCGATGACCGAGCCAACCGCCACACACGAACCGCCCATCCCTAACCCTACGACACACCGCAAACCGTGCCGGACGCACGTCCATCGCTGCCGGACGCACAGCCACGCGCACCACCATTACTCCCCGTACTCGCCGTACTCGCGCCAGTCGCGGTCCAGCGTGAGCTCGCAGCTGAGTCCGGGGGACACGCCGCCTCCGCTGGACGGGGGCGGCGGCTCGTCTTCTGTGCTGACCAGCCCCGAGTACATCCCGGAGGAGGCCCACGTGTGCCGCTGGACGACCATGACGGATGGAATCAAGACGCCGTGCGGCGCCACCTTCGCGGACTCGTGCGGCCTGCAGGAGCATCTCATTGGCAGCCACATGGCCACGGTGGCGGGGGCCAAGGGGACGGGGTATTACTGTTGCTGGGAGGGGTGCCACCGCCCGGACGAGCCGTTTTCGCAGAAGTCGAAGCTGCAGGGCCACTTTCTGACGCACAGCAACTGTACGTTTACTGACTGAGTGTGTCCACCCCACCATCCTTGCTGACACTGACGCGGGGTAGACAAGAACTTCAAGTGTTCGGTCTGCGGCAAGTTCTTTGCGCGGCAGGCGACGCTGGAGCGGCACGAGCGCAGCCACCGCGGGGAGAAGCCGTACAAATGCGCCGAGTGCGGCAAGTCGTTCACCGACAGCAGCGAGCTGAGTATGTTGTTTTTTTTGTGTCTGCATCAAGGCCGGTGGGTGACTAATTTGGGGGGAATAGAAACGCATTCGCGGACGCATACGGGCGAGAAGCCGTTCAAATGCACGTATCCGGGGTGTACCTTCCAGACGGGCGATGTAAGTTTTTACCTGAAGATGAGGAGATGCAAACTGACAGGTGCAGTCGTCCAACATGTCCAGTCACCGGTTGAGTACGTAACCCCCCCTTATCTGGAAACGGAGAGTATACTGACCGGTCTAGCGCACGGGGAACGACGGCATAAATGCCATTATCCGGGGTGTACGAAGAGCTTCACTCGACACGGTGGGTGTTGCCGGGGTATATGACCGTTGAAGCTGAGAACTGACGGGTACAGATCAATTGAAACGACACCTGAAAAGCACCCATAAAGACAGCGGCAGCAGCAGTGGCAGCAGCAACAGCATGATGATGCCCTCGCCGTCGCCATTGACGGAGCAATTCGGCCTGTCGCTGGCCGAGGTGGCGTGAGCTTTTTACTTTTTTTACAGATTATTTAAAAAATGTTGACACGATACCCCCAGTATATATGAAAGTTGACGGTTGCGGCAGACCAGAGATGTATTCTAGACTGAATATAGGAATAATCACGATGACTTCACAGCCACTAGTTACCACCACAATACAATACCCCCCTGACAAGAACCAACTCATACGTAGTATAGTATACAACCCACCAACCCCCCGCAATCCAGATACTTAAAATCCTCATGCCCCCTCACCTCCAACCCCTCAACCGCAGCCTTCAACTCCCGCACCCGCTGCCCCACCCGCCTCCGCACCTCTTGTCGCACCGCATCCTCAATCCCCTGCGGATTCAACCCGGTATCGATCTTCACCTCGTCCGCCCCCTCCGCCCCGAGCAACCTCTCCACCCCCGACCGCCCCGCCGCGTCCAGCAGCGACACGTCCCGCGTGTACAGCGTGTACACGGCCAGCAGCTCGTTCAGGGCGTCGCGCGCCGCCTCGCGGTCCGAGGCCGCGTAGATCGTCGCGGCGTCGGTGCTTTCGGTCGCGATTTCGAATTCGTCTTTGGCGGTCTCGTAGCTTTTCCGCACTCTGTTAGTTGGGATTGGGTTGGGAATGGGGTTAGGGTGTGGACGTACAGATCCTGCAGCTCTTCGACGATGATGTCGCTGGTTGATTTGCCGGTTGTGTAGGGTCTTCTTCCGGATGGCTGGGTGTGAACCTGGAGGAGCGGGAGGCGGGGGAGGCGGGGGGTGGGGTTTTGGTGGAGGGGGCGCGTGAGGGGGCGGGTGAGCTTGAGGGTGAGATTGTGTCCTTGGGGGTTTGCTGCTGCTGCTGCTGCTGCTGCTGTTGATAGAGGTCGGAGACGGAGGAGGGATGCCAGTGGGTGGGATTGAGGGAGGAGGGCGGAGCGCGGGGGGAGCTTGGGGAAGGTCAGGGTGCGGGCGGACATGGTTCTTTTTCTTTGCGGGGTGGGTTCAGCTTTGCTGGTTGGAATTGACTTGGATTGACTTGCGATGAAGACTTGGTGGATGGAATTGAGTTCGGTGGGGAAGTTCAGCAACCGGACGATGAGGATTAAAGACGAGAAGGATGATGACATGTGACATGTGACATGACATAACGTCGCGGCGCTCTCACGTGCCTGTCCACTACAAACATCCCACAGCATATGAATCAATCAACTTCTATACCATATACGCTAACGCAATTGCCATCCTCCCCCAAGCTAGGTCGTAAACTTCAACCCCCCATTCGCACACACCACACTCCCCGTACACCACCCCGCATCCTCGGAGCACAACATCCCCACCACACCGGCCACCTCGGCCGTGAACCCGGGCCGCCGGCCGCCCATCTTCTCGCGGATCAGCCGCTGCTGCTCCTCCGTCAACGTGCCCACCAGCGGGTCCTCCTCGACCATCTTGCTCCCCGGCGTGTTATCCTGGAACCCCTGCATCTGCTGCCAGAAGGCCTCGCCGGTGGCGAAGTACATGTCCCCGATGACGGGGCCGGGGTTGACGGCGTTGACCGTGGCGACATCGGCCAGCTCGCGCGCCCAGGTGCGCGTCATCGCTTCGAGCGCCGCCTTGGTGCCGCCGTACACGCTCTGGCCCGTGAAGCCCAGCGACGACGAGATCGAGGAGATGTTGACGATGCGGCCGGCGCGCGGCGGGCTGCGCGGCAGGTACGGGGCGACGGCCTGCGTGAGGAGCAGCGGCGCCAGCACGTTGATCGTGTAGTGCCAGTGGAAGTAGTCGGCGTCGATGGCGCCTTTGGCTGCGTCGTTGAGGAAGCGGTCCTTGCTGACGCCGGCGTTGTTGATGAGGATGTCGATCGTCAGTTGCTGCTGCGTCGAGGGGGAGGAGAATTCGGTCTTGGCGACGGCGAGGATGCGCTCGATGGCTGGCGCCGGGTCCGACAGGTCGGCTTGCACGGGCACGCACCGGATCGAGTGCTCGCGCGCCAGCTGGGCGCAGAGCGACTCGGTGCGCGCCCGCGACGAGTCGGACGTGTAGTTGAGGAGGAGCGAGCAGCCTTTGCGCGCCAGGTTGTGCGCGATCGCTTCGCCGATGCCTGGCAGGGGGTTAGTTTGAGTTACGGTGTGTCAATTGGCAGGTGCCTACCCCGCGATCCGCCGGTGATGATGGCGAGTTTGCCTGCGAGAATGCCCGACATGTTGGAGGGAGATGTGCGGTGCGGTGGTAGGGTGTAGCGGGGGAAGTGAGGGGAGAAATTCAGAACTGTCTGGCTGCAGCAAGTAATTGATATACTTTGCCGATTGAGTCGACTAACTCATCACGGTTAATTTGTTCGTCCAGTCCTATGTAGGGTATGTACCTCCGGATAATTGTTGTTGATCAGCTGGATGCTGGAGATCTCCACTTGCGATGCTACCGAGTACTACCCACGACTCACGAAGTATACGCCGGGAAATTCCCCCATCGGGCAGACTCCGGCGGCACCTCTCCATCTCCATCCCCATCCACAGTAGCTACTCCATTCATACATCAATTTATACGGAGTACAGCAGATCCATCCTCCACCCCATACATCAAATTATACCGCCATACATACCTACAGCAGGCACATTACACTCAACAACAAAGCCATCCACTAACTAAGAGCTACTCACCCCAACTTCACCCCCTTAAACCGCCTCGCATTCTCCTCAATCGCCCTCTCCACCGGCAACCGCTCCATACTGCTGGCCCCAAAGAACCCATGCACGCCCCTCACTCTTCCCAAGACATACTGCGCATCCTCCGGACTGGCCACCGGGCCCCCATGGCACAACACAATGACCTCCGCATTGATCTTCACGACCGCATCCCGCACCTCCTGAATGACGTGAATACTCTCATCCAACGATAAACTCGTCTGCGCCCCGATCGTCCCGGACGTCGTCAGCCCCAGATGCACGACAATCACGTCGGCGCCCGCGCGCGCCATGCGCTCGCCCTCGTCCACGTTGAACACGTACGGCGTCGTCACCAGGTCCAGCTCGTGCGCCAGCCGGATCATCGCCACCTCGCGCTCGTACCCCATCCCCGTCTCCTCGAGATTGGCCCGGAATCTCCCGTCGATGAGGCCGACCGTCGGGAAGTTCTGGACCCCCACGAAGCCCAGGGTGCGCAGGTGCTGCAGGAAGGCCCGCATGTCGCGGAAGGGGTCGGTGCCGCAGACTCCTGCTAGGACGGGGGCGTTTTCGACGATCGGGAGGACTTCGGAGGCCTTGGGTTGGTTAGTTTCTGATGGAGGGGGAGGGTGTAAGGAGAGGCGGGGGGCGAACCATGTCGACTACGACCGCGTTGGCATCGGAGTAGGGCATCATGCCCGCCAACGACCCCCGGCCCGCCATGCGGAACCGGCCTGAGTTGTAGACCAGGATCAGGTCGGCGCCGCCTTTTTCGATGAATTTGGCGGAGAGCCCGATTCCTTTGACGGAGGATTAGTTGCGGTTTGGATGGAGGGTGGGACAGTAGGGAAGAGGGGGTACCAGCTCCGGCGCCGACGATGATGGCGCCGTCGGCGATGGTCTTGCGCAAACGCGCGAGGACTTCCTGTCGGGTGGTTGGGCGCATTGTCGTTGGATTTGCCGTTTGTTGTTTGGAAGGGAGAATTCGTTTGTTGCAGACAAACGACGGTTGGAAGAAAGTGGGAGGAAGGGTGGAGGGGACAATTCAAGAGGGGAGAGAGGAGGGGGAAGGGCAAACAACATCATCGTGCATCTTCATACATCATTCTCAACCCCACCTCAGCCCTCATCCGATTACCTGATTTAACCAGCGCAACACCACCACCACCACCACCACCACCGTCCACACATTGATCTATGACTATTATGTCCCCATAGCTAAAGCAAGTTCGATTCTACCATAATCACAACCCCAAAATGACCGACCGCCCCACCATCCTCCTCATCGGCACCTGCGACACCAAATGGGCCGAACTGCAACACACGCGCCAACAGCTGCTCGCAACCCCGACCACCCCCCGCCCAACCGTCTTACTCCTCGACATCGGGCGTGAGCCCTCTCACCACAAAGAGATCAGCTTCCCTCACCCCACCCTCCCCTGCCACTTCGACATCGAGAACGATGCCTCCGAACCGGAACCGGAACCCAACGACTACGCCTCGCTCCCGCGCCAACTCTACCTCGAAGCCGCCACCGCGCGCACCCAGCGCACCATCACCCACCTACGCGCCCGCAACCAGCTACACGGGATCCTGGCCCTCGGCGGCAGCTGCGGCACGACCGTCGCGACCGCGGCCATGCGCGCCGCGTGCCCGATCGGGTTCCCGAAGGTGATGGTGTCGACGATGGCGAGCGGGGACATCGGGCCGTACGTCGAGGAAACCGACCTGACGATGATGTACAGCGTGGTGGACATCGCGGGGACCAACGGCATCCTGACCCAGATCCTGGCCAACGCGGCCGCGGCGACGGCCGCGATGGCCGCCGTGCAGTTCCGGCGCGACCAGCCGGACGCGCGCCAACGCCGCCATCCCCCGGAGTACCGGGCCGCCCAGGCACTCTGTCCAATGGTCCCCGGCGCCGACAGATCCCAGTGGCCCCGTCCCGCCGCCCCCACACGGATCGGAATCACCATGTTCGGCGTGACCACGCCGTGTGTCACCGAGATCCAGACGCTGCTGGCGGCGTCGCCGACGGCCACGGAGGTGTTCGTCTTCCACGCGACGGGCGCCGGCGGGAAGGCCATGGAGCGCCTGGTCCGCGAGGGCGAGCTGGACGCCGTGATCGATCTGACCACCTCCGAGGTGGTCGATGAGCTGGTCGGCGGCGTGCTCTCCGCGGGTCCGGATCGACTCGATGCTGCCGCCGCCGCGGGCATCCCGCAGGTGGTCAGTGTGGGGGCTTGCGATATGGTCAACTACGGGCCCCCGGGGACGGTGCCGGAGCGGTTCAAGGGACGGCGGATTTGGGAGCATAACTCTACTGTTACGTTGGTGCGGACGAGTCCGGAAGAGAATCGGAGGGTCGGGGAGTTTCTGGTCGAGAAGTTGAAGAAGGCCAAGGCGCCGGAGAAGGTGGTCGTCGTGCTCCCGACAGGGGGGTTGAGTATGTTGGATGTCGAGGGCGGCGTGTATTGGGATCCCGAGGCGGATGCGGTGCTGTTTCGCACGGTGGAGGAGGGGTTGCGGGGGTCCGGGGTGGAGGTGGTCAGGAGGGCGGAGGACGTGAATGCCCCGGCGTTTGCGAGGGGGTTGGTGGAGGTGTTGGGGCGGGTGATGGGGTGTCGGTTGGTTTGATATTGCCGTTGGTGGAAGTAGGTATGCAAGTAGCAGGTCTAGATTGTCTTGTCAGGCTGATTCACCGGAGGTGCAAGAATGATACTTTTGTTGCTATATGCATGTGCATGTGCATGTCAACCATCCAGCTGATGGGCAATGTATCCGTGGATAGTGTGATATCTATGATGATAGTATGGTGTCTATGGTAAGTAGCATGATAAAAGAAAATATGACTTATTCTTGCTAGAAGTATGCTAGTATCTTCTCTTCTCCACGATAGGGGATAACTACCGAACAGCAGTAGCTGTATAGATGATCAAGGCACAGCTGAGTACAGCACAACTGCCCTAACTCCATTGAGTGCAACCCATCGCCACAGCTGCCACGGGTACGACCATAAGGATTGCACCATGGATCCTCTTCATCCCCGAGTCGTAGCCCCATAGCAAACGCCCATCCTACCATCCCTTTAACAAATTCCTCAAAACCCCCAAACCACCAAGACACAGGGAGCCATCGGACCACCATAAACCACCACCGCACCCCGCGGGTCCGTCATCTCCGCAAAGAACCGACACCCGCCCGTAGCACACTGATAGACCACGGACCGCGGAACTCGCACACATCCACTGTCTGCACTGGCGATGACCCGTCGGCTGAACTGCAGTCCGTCGCTGCAGTTGGCAGGTCGGGTTCTCCGCGAGCACGCCCCGCATATCCCCGAAGCAGACAAATTTCCCACAAAAAGCGCAGGCGTAGTATGGACGCAGTGCGTTCCCGTTGCGGTTTGCGGGCTTGCAATGCTTCGGTGTGGTTGGTCGGCCACAGTGGAGGCAGGGGGGGGGGTTGTTTGATGGCGAAGTGGTTGGCGAGAGGGTTGGCGGTTACTAAGCTGAAGCCTTGGGGGTTCATTGTGGGAGAAAGGGTTCTTTTTAGTGTATGTGTGTGTGTGGGGGTGTGTTTGACACTGAAGGTGGTCATTTAGCTGTTTCTGTTGTTTAGAAGAGAGTCAGATCTGTTCGTTTGGATGAGGACTTAGATTAGTGGATTTGATCCCAGAAAATCCAGGTTGGTGATAATTGAACCGTGAGTTGTGGTTTGATCCCATTCTGTCAAAAGAGGGCCATGTGGGAGTATATCAAAATCCAATCAGCAATAGCCACGACTTCGCATGCATGTATACTGCCTGGGAGCTACTGAGTAATCGGATGTTAGAAAGAACCCCCCAGGTTCTGTGTCAACCATTCTGACCTAGTCCGAATGGTAGGAATCATTGTCGCCATCATTGATCATGATCAGCCAGTTAGACCGTCATCCGCCTTGGGAATATGCCTTTCTGATAGCGTGTGACATGGTGAGGCTAGCCTGTAGGTAGATATATACTACTTATTGTATTGACGACGCTAACACAAGGGGGTCCTGCAGCATATTTACCGGCCATAGGCCTCACAGGCTGGTACATAAAACGCTTGAAGATGTTATGACCCGGGACTTATTCCAAGCTTTTTGTGTACAAGTATTTGACCGATATTGCCTCTGATATGACGTCGGTGTTGTTGTGCTGTACAATACTTTGGGATCTGCCTTTTCGGGTACCGGCAGCGCGAAATCAACCAATTCATATCTTCAAACGTTTGTGCCAACTAGACAACAACAAAGTGTATAATGATGAAAGTTCTTCTTCCGCGTACGTCTCATAAGCAGCACGGTAGGTGGCGAAGTTCCTGCCACCTTTACTTGATGTCATGTCCAGACCCCTCCCGTCATCGAATATAACTGGCCAGTTCATTGAATATGTGAAGAAAACCCTCTGCGGTATTCCGATCTCTTCACCTTGCAAGTACAGTGGCATCGATGCTCACCCTCCACTCACCTTCTAGTTCACAGGCAATCAACCTAACTCTACCTTCAATTTGACAGATATGTCCACTATCAGACCGGGACTTTCCGGCCGCGGAGTTAACGGACAAGAGAGAGCATTGACGGAGTTAAAAACGCAATCTCCGTCGCGGAATGGGATGTATCATGTATCACGGGCGAGGGAGGTGAGAACTACATAGTACCCAGCAAACGCAGCTTCCAGGCGCAGCTCGCACCTCATCCTCCTACCTACATTGAGAACGACCATGTCGGCCCAAGACGCTTCCCTGACCAATTGGCCAGCTGTGGCCAGCTATGTGTCAACGCGCAAGGACACCTACCCGTTCATCGATCCCGCCGCGGCCGACCTGGCAGGCAAGTCAGTCCTGATCACCGGCGCGTCCAGGGGCATCGGCAAGGCGACGGCGATCAGCTTTGCGACGGCGGGCTGCTCGACGATCCTGCTGCTCGCGCGGTCGGACCTGACCGACGTCGCGACCGCCGTGCACGAGGCCGCCAGGCAGGCGAACCGGGGCCGGCCCTCCGTGCATTGCCTGCAGGCCGACGTGACGTCGGAAGACTCGGTGCGCGCGGCCGCCGCCACCGCCGGCGAGATCCTCGGCGGCCGGCTCGATGTGCTGATCAACAACGCGGGCCACCTGGAGGCGTGGACGCCCATCGCCGCCTCCGAGCCGCGCGCGTGGTGGCGCACGTGGGAGGTCAACATCAAAGGCACCTATCTCGCGGCCCACTGCTTCGTGCCGCTGCTGCTCCGGTCGCCGACCCGGACGGTCGTCAACCTCAGCAGCGGCGGCGCGCACGCCCTGTTCCCCGGCGCGTCCGCCTACCAGACCACCAAGTTCGCCCTCTGCCGTCTCACCGAGTTCCTGGACGCCGAATGCGCCCCGCAGGGGCTGATCGCCATCGCGCTGCATCCCGGCGCCGTCCGCACCGAGCTGGCCACGAACATGCCCCCGGAGAGGCAGTCCGTCCTCACCGATCCCCCGGCCCTGGCGGCGGACACGCTGGTCTGGCTCGCCCGCGAGCGCCGCGACTGGCTGGCCGGCCGGTTCGTCTCGGTGAGCTGGGACATGGAGGAGCTGCAGCAGAAGAAGCAGGACGTGCTCCACAGAGACTTGTTCAAGTTTCGCGTGATGGTTTGAGGTCGGACGGCGTGGTCCCGGTCTCATCATTTTTCTCAGCAACCGGATATTCTAGCAGGGACCCGAACTCGAGTTCCACGACGAGCAGATTTCGAATCACAAGACCAGGTCGGGAATTCTATTTTCGCAGTTTCGTAAAGAGTCCATATCTAGCATCTAAGAGGGTCCCCGATCCAAGTGTGGATCTTGGCGGATCGTCTTTGGGGAACAGTGTCAGGCCCATTTTAAAGCCCAATTACAGTTCCTGTTCCCCAGGGGCTCTTGAATGGTCTCTGGGATTGATGTGAGCGCCCTGGGGAACAGTGTTCCTTGGTCCTGGGAGCCCTGTTGCTCCTGGCTGGAAATTACAGACACAGTTCCCGGAGTTACAACCATATCTGCCAAAGACAAGCCATAACCTCCCAGAACCAAGCGGTGTCAGTGTGGGGACCTCACGTATCGTATCGTATACATCTGTGTTATACTACCGAATGGTTACAATTCCTGCCGCTATGTTTGTGGTGGTGTCGATGCTATGTTCCAACGCTCTGGTGCTGTAGTCCTCATTCATGAATTCAAGCGGTGTACAGTCAAACCAGGAAAAACCACCGCGGCAGAGAAAGGGTCTGGCGAAGATCGACTGAAATTCCAACCTTCAGGAATGATTGACAATAGCCTCGAGTATATAGGTATTCAAGAGACGTGGGTCTTTGCGATGTACGAGAGGAGGGAAGGGGTGAGGAGGCGTTTCGTCGCGCGGCCGTCGCTGGATCTTCGGGGAAACCGGGGATCTGGTGGTGTGGCTGGATACGATATCGCTCAGCTCGCATGAATGCCATGGGTTGTAGGCTTGTGGTGGTTTGGGTGACGAGGGATTGCTTCTTTTCTTACAGTCTACAGATCTTCTCTGGTGGATGACTACGCGCCACATGGTTTTCCGTCTTATCTCTGTGCTTTCACCCCTCGTCAATACCAATTATACATCAACAAAAGGACGAATATACGCTATGCGCCAAATACAGTACGATCATCAACCCCTCTCCTTGAGGGAAAGCCGTAATATGATACCATGTCCAGTACCACCATCCCGCCCCAAAAGAAAACATACAAACTGGTACAAATCAAGAAGACCCCTTCGACGCCCAATCCTCCTTCCTTGTCACTTGAACCTCGTTGGTTATGGTTGTTAGGTCTGCGCTGGAGGTGGGCGATGATTGATGCTGGCAGACGGTGGTTTCCCCCAACGGCCCGGGGGGGCTTAACTTGCTCGGTATGATATTCTATGCAGAACCTTAGGGAGGCTGGCATTATCTTCCATGCTCTACATTGAGCTACGAGTCCCTACACAATCCGTGCCATGTATGGAACGTGTGGTCAAATGATTTGGTGGTTCATCGGCTTGAGTTTCAGGGACTGGGAGTGGATCAATACGGTGACGCGAGTACGCTTCAACTACAGCCATGCATGCAAACAGACTCATATTATTTATCTTTATGGTATAAAACAACCCAATCAAACCCCTATGCCACTTTTATTCTTGCCGTTGAAGACAATGCTTTTGAGCCCCATTGTTAAAAAAAGACCCCGTTTTATTTGTTTCGTAACATCGTGACCATGTTGAAAAACTCTAGCCGTTCAGGGTATACCGAAATCAATGCCGAACAGGTGTGTATGCGGTGGACACAAAGAGAAAAGAAAAATCGCTTAGTAGCGGTAGTGGTCGGCCTTGAAGGGACCGGTGACCTCCAGACCAAGGTACTCGGCCTGGACGGGGGTGAGCTGGGAGAGCTTGCCGTTGACGTGCTCCAGGTGGAGGAGAGCGACCTGCTCGTCCAGGACCTTGGGCAGGACGTAGACGCCGACGGGCTTGCGGCCGGTGGTGCCGAACTCGACGTACTTCTGGCCGAAGGCAACGTCCTCGGCCTTGAAGAGGGCGATCTGGGCAAGGACCTGGTTGGAGAAGGAGCAGGACATGACGAAGGAGGAGTGGCCGGTGGCACAGCCCAGGTTGACGAGACGGCCCTCGGCGAGGAGGATGATGTGGTTGCCGCTGGGCATCTCGTAGCGGTCGACCTGGGGCTTGATGTTCTGGACGGACTTGGCGTTGGCCTTCAACCAGGCGACGTCGATCTCGATGTCGAAGTGACCGATGTCTGAGCGGTTAGCCTACCCCTTCGAACCAAGGGAGCGAGGGACTTACTGCAAACGATGGCGTCGTTGCGCATAACCTCGAAGTGCTTGCCAACAAGGATGTCACGGCAACCGGTGGTCGTGACGAAGATCTGACCCTGGGGAGCAGCCTCCTCCATGGTGGTGACCTGGTAGCCCTGGACGGCAGCCTGGAGGGCGTTGATGGGGTCGATCTCAGTGACGATGACGCGGGCACCCATGCTGCGGAGAGCATCGGCACAGCCCTTACCGACATCACCGAAACCAGCGACGACGGCGACCTTACCGGCGATCATGACATCGGTGGCACGCTTGATACCGTCGACGAGGGACTCGCGGCAGCCGTACAGGTTGTCGAACTTGGACTTGGTGACGGAGTCGTTGACGTTGATGGCGGGGACGAGGAGCTTGCCCTCCTTGAGCATGCGGTACAGGTGGTGGACACCGGTGGTGGTCTCCTCGGACAGACCGTAGCAGTCCTTGAGCTGCTCGGGGTACTTCTCGTGGACGAGGGAGGTCAAGTCACCACCGTCGTCGAGGATGAGGTTGAGCTTCTTGCCATCCTTGAAGGAGACGAGCTGCTGCTCCAAGCACCAGTTGTACTCCTCCTCGGTCTCACCCTTCCAGGCGAAGCTAGCGGGTTGTTAGCGTGGGGACCGTCGGGACGGAGAAAATTCAGTGTCAGCTTACACAGGGACACCGGCGGCGGCAATGGCGGCGGCGGCGTGGTCCTGGGTGGAGAAGATGTTGCAGCTGGACCAGGTGACCTCAGCACCAAGGGCAACGAGGGTCTCGATGAGGACGGCAGTCTGGATGGCTGGGGAGGGTTAGCGGGTGGTTGAAAAAGTCACCGAGGCGGAACATACTCATGTGCAAGCAACCAGCGATGCGGGCACCCTTGAGGGGCTGGTCCTCGGCGTATCTGCGGCGGATGGCCATGAGACCAGGCATCTCAATCTCGGCGAGCTCGATCTCGCGGCGACCGAAGGCGGCCAACGACTAGAAGATTATCAGGAGGTGGATTGGCAAGGATTGATGGGGGGGGGGGGGAACACATACGATGTCGGCGACCTTGAACTTCTGAGCGGGGGCGGCCATTGTGAGTGTGTGAGGAAGACTAAGTGGAGGATTAGCAACAAGGACCGAGATGAATGATGAAGAGAATGTCTAGGACAACCTACTAGAAGGATGGGGATAGAAAAAGGGGGAGAGATAAGAGAGAGAAATGGGGGGGAGGGAGGGAGGGAGTAAGAGAAGAGGGGAATCAGGAAGAGAAATAAGTTTGGTGGTGCTGGCGGGGCTGAGCCCAACTTGGCTTGGGTCCGGAGTAACTGTATTGCCGGTCTCGCCGAATCAATCTTCTGTCTACAGGCAGTCTAAACTTACAGTACTTAGACTACACTACGGAGTACATTTCTACACTACACTACCATTGAGCTCAACGAGGTACTCCGTAGTAACTACTAGGTACCTAGTAACTACAGTAATCCGTACAATCGTAATTGAACTACACTCTCCCTGCCCCTCCTCTCCCCTCCTCTCTCCTCCTACTCATCCTCCCCCTCCGCTAATCCGCAACCCGCAACCCGCAACCCGCAACCCGCCCCTCATGTCTGCGTTGTCCGAAACCTCCGAACTTGGACGGACATGCAGCTGGATCAGCCTGGGATCTGCTCCGACCCACGCCAGCCATTGGCCTGATGTCCGCCGAAAGAGGGGGGACTAGTCCAAGTTGCACAGTAGTACCTCTTCCACTCGCAATGCCCTCTTCAGGTCGACTTCTCAAATCCTCCGGCCCCTTCGCTAAGTGGGCGGCGAACTTATCAGGATCGGATCTTGGGCCCCGTGGGATTGGCGGTTCGGGGGGTTGAACCTTAGCTCCAAATTTCCACCGCCAATTCGCCGAACGCAAGGGTGAGTTATTAACTCTTCGGATCTCCGGCGGTGGGATGGACCTCGGATCGTCTAACTACAGTGCACAACCACACTTTATTATCGTCAAGATCCTCCTTCACAACGGATCGGTCGTGTATATATTGTAGGCGAATTGATGCTCAGTTTCTGTCGATGGCATCTTCTGCTCTTTCCACTGCTGAATCGCTGGGAGGGCATTCTTGCGCTTCTGCGGAGTACATACAGTACACACAGTCGCCCTCCTCAATGTCCCCGTCCGCCTTCGGATGAACCGTAGATCTATGCAACCACGTCCCCAAACACAACACCCTCCCTTCCCCTCGAGCCTTGCTTCACCGTAGTGGTAAATTTTTCTGCCAGCATGGACCTTTCGCACTTCCAACAAACCATCTATCCTAACCATCTCAGTCCCTACCCATTATGAAGGTACTTGCAATATCAACCCTCTGCTCCCTGGTGCTCGCCTCCGCCGTGCCCCTCACCACCAAATCCACGGCCCTCGGAGTAGCCCTCGCAGCAGCACAAAAATCATGTCAAACGCCCGGAGGTATCCAGATCGCGAACCTCGCGTGTCGGAATACTGTACGTTTGTTCTAGATCCTCAATAACAGCTGAATTGAGGCACGGATAAGGATAAGGCTGCTGATCAGTTAGTGTATTGCCCAAGGCGGAGGCTGGACCGGGGGGTTTTGTGACGACCAGGGGTAAGCTCCTATCGACTTTCCGTCGCTGGCGATCGTACTGAGCTGAATATATCTGATGCTAGGATCTGTCACTGTACCTTTCACGATTCGGATGATGGTGATGATGATGATGATGATGATGGTGGTGGGAACGGTGGGGATAATGAACAAGCCGAACATAATGAAGCCCCGGCAGGATGACCAGATGGGGAAAATCACACAAAATGTATTCAATGCGCTGCTTGCATATTCCCAATATGTCAACATCAGCCGTCCGTTCTTGCAGTATACAATTTCATCTCATCATCGCTTAAGAAAACACACGACCTCCACAATATCTCGCAACCAGCGCTAGACACCATCATTAAACCGATAGAAGTTCATCCACCTCTGCGAATCGTCAGTAAGACCCTAGTCCAGGCCACAGACAGGGACACCCACCTTATCGTACGGCCTCGACGAATCGCAGAACCGGATATCCGTAGCCAGACGGATGACATTATCCGGGTCATTGTTGACGGTCGAGGCGTGGATCTAGACCGAAGGATCAGCATGCACTGCGCGGGCCATCAAGCATCGACAGCGACGAAACATACCATATGGGGCTTGTGTAGGACGACATCCCCGGCCTCGTACGCCGCGACCAGCCAGCGACGACCGTGCTCCTTGGCGAACTCGGCCGGAGCATCCGACAGCAGTGCGTTGGCGGTCATGTTCGAGTTGAAGGCCGAGCGGGCCTCTTCGTCCGACAGCCCCGCCTGCTTGGCCTTGACTGTGAAGTCGTCCTCGATCTTCCGGCCGACCGAGTCACCTGCGCAGTACAGGAGTAGTTAGCAAGCCATTCCACCCACCTCCCCCATGCCATCATGGCCCGACCTCCAGAAGGACGACATACTATCTTCCAAATAAATCAACCCTCCCCCAGTGATCTTCACATCCCCAATGGGCACCCACGCCGTGACACTGGTGGGCTCGCCGTGCCGGATAAAGATCTGATCGTAGTGCACGCCGATGGGCTTGGTGCCCGGGGTGTTGTTGCGCAGCAGGGTGCGCTTGAAGGTGAGGGTGTTGGCGCCCCAGCCGGTGAAGCGGGCGACGTAGGCGTACAGGGCGGGGTGGTTGCAGAGCTGGTCGACGTACCAGTCCTTGTAGTGGGCCTCGATGGCGCGGTCGACGAACTCGGCCGCGCTGTCGCCGCCGGGCCGCCCGTTGCCGCCCACGCTGGCCGCCCCGATGCCCGGGTAGTCGTCCGCCGACTTGCGGGGGTTGAAGATCCCCTCCACCGGGTCCGACCCGTCCTTCAGCACCCCCGTCGGCGCCAGGTAGTCGAAATACCGGCGCCGCGTCTCCAGCACGTCCGCCCGCGGGATCACCTGCTTCAGGAAGAGGTAGCCGTCGGCCTCGTAGCGCTGGCGGAGTTCCTCCAGGGGCAGGTTGGGGTCGGAGGGCCGCAGGAGCGCGGCGTTCTCGCTGGTGAGGGGACCGTCGCTGACGGCCACAGCTTCGTGGAGGACTCCGACCATGGTTGTGGTTGTTGTTGTTGTGTCTCAGATACTGTATAGATGGAGGGGGGTTGATGTTATTCTTCTGGAGCTGGACGCCCACCTAGCTGGAGGGGGGCTTTAGATTATATAGAGGGGATATCCCCGCGCCACGTCCCCATCGTGACGCACTAATGAATAATCTCGAAGGTGTCCAGTGCACGCGTACAGCTTCCCCCGCATTCTGATGAACGACAAGGCGGCCCTTTCAGGGTTTCTCAACCATCCAGAAGCCAAACATTACTCAGGGACTGCTTGTCTGCTCGTATCGGCCCATGCGAACCGAGTCAACCGAGGGCAATTTTCCCCACATCCCGCGTGGAAAATCTCTCTTTTCGACCACCGTCCCTGGACTGCTCCTCCAATGGGAAAATGCGGATTGGGGGCGGGCGCGGGGAATACGCCTTCTTTCAGCGCAGAGTGGACACTGCGGTGCATTAGTGCGAATAACCAGGGTGAGTCGCATGGAATTGTTCCGCTAACTTAACTGATACAGTCCAGTAACTTATACAGCCCGCAGTATATACAGTCTACCTCTCGCTTCCAACGCAGTCCCATATGGCACTGTACATTGAATTGATCACGGGGTATATTAATAATCTATCGACTCGAAACCCACAAGCTCAAACGCATCAAAAGAAACACAACCCATCCATAACACCCCGAGTAACACCATCTTTCCCCTCCCCTCCCACCCCCTACTCCCCTACTCCCCCTTCAGATTCCCATCCACCCACTCCCCAAACTCCCAATCCCCCACCCCCTCCCCAACCGTCAACCGCAACGTCGAAAACTCAATCGACTCATACATCTCCCTCGCCGCGCCCCGCGCCTTCTTATGCCATGGCCCCAACCCGCCGAGCCTCGCATCCTCCCGACTCCGCCAGATGCCTATCCCAAACCAGGAATTAGCCTTCACCATCCCGTACCCCTCTCAACCCGCGACAAACACCACAAGGAGGGACAAAGAAAACTCACAAGTCGCCAGATTCCGATGCTCGGCATCCTTACTCCCGAACCAATACTTCAACAGTCCCCCGCTGGCCATCGCCTCCTGATGCGAATGCGCGTCCAGCAGGTGCAGCCGCTCGCCGTCGGCGTCGGCGCGCAGTCGCGAGCGGAACGTGACCACGTAGAAGCTCTGCGCGGGCCACGTGCCCGCCCCGCCTGGGGCAGCGGCGCCCGCTTCGTCTTGGGACTCGAGGGCAACAAGCTGGCGCAGGAGCTCGAACACGGCGGCCCAGTTGAAGGACTCCGTGTACGGCGCGGTGGCGTAGTCGGGCCGCGTGGGCTGCAGGATGGTCAGGGCCTGCGCGAGGAGTTGGTTCGCGCGGTCTAAGCGGCGGAGGTCCAGGAGGTGGCCTGGTTGGTTGTAGGGGGAGACGATGAGGTGGGTGTCGGTTGGGAGTGGTGCTGCTGCTGCTGCTGCTGCTGCTGCTGCTGCTGCCGCCGCCGTTGCTGTTGCTGGTTTCTTCAAGGTTGGTGACAAGCGCAATTGCAGGGCGGCGGCGGCGTGGAATCTCAGGGCGTCGAAGTCGGTGGTGATGAGGCTGTGGTGGTTGAGTTGGAGGGGTGTCGGTGTCTTCGTGGGCAGGATAGCCCGTGCCTCTTCTTCCGCCGACTCGGTGTCGGAGGTCGGATACAGGGGTTTGCCTATTTGGGGGGCCATTGTTCTCTGTGTCTGTCTTGCGGTTTTATGCCGGTGGTCCGTTGTATAGTAGGATGGGGACTGCCGCAATGCTCACGGACAAAGGATGCGGCCTTCAAGGAATTGGGTTGGATTGGGGGAGGGAGAGAGAAAAGGAAACGAAACGAAACGAGACGAGACGCCCTCAGCAATTGAAATAAATCTACGGACCCTCATTTCCTTTCCCTACGGTCCGTCAATTGCCCCCTTCCCATGGGGGAAGATTCCTCCAAAAGCACGCAATATGCCGACAACTCCAGCCGGCAACCCCCCAAAAAAGATCCACATAATTCCCCGTGCGTTGAACAAGAGGACCCCCCCCCCCTCGTCTTCTCCCCAATATGATCGTCGGCTAGTTTCATGCTTAATATTCCATATTCCTGAAATTCCTCAAGAGAATACGGCTTAGTATGGGGTACGGAGACAGTAAATGTATACCCTACAGCACTTCATCATAATCAATCCCAGTGCCATCCCGGTTAGGGCTCGGGAACTTTCTTTCTTTTCCCTGACAGTCACACGTTTTGCCGCCAGCAATGGCGACATTTTCTGCAACCCCAAAAGGAAAAAAAAAAAAAAAAAGTTAGACTTTATCCCTGTGTCCCATGAATGCCAGGCGACAAGTCTCCACCGTTAAAAACTGTCACGAACAAATTTTCGAGTCTTGCGCCACCACCATGTGTGGGCCCTGTCTTGTTGTTTCGCTCTGGCAAATCGGCAAGCCAAGCGATTTCACCATCGTCCGTCGGAACCATGGCTACGGATTCAGTAGGTGGTTTGGCCACGGGATCAGAACCGACGACCAATCGGTCCCAACTACAGAGTACAGTCCAGACTGTGAATTCCTTTGTTGGGTTCTAGAATGAAAAGTGATTGCGGAGGATGAAACTGCCAAGTCTTGCTCTTATGGGACTTTTGTCATACAGAATTTCTGGGATTGGTATGGTATCATGCAGGGCTGCCTAGTCTTTTGAAACGCCAGTAAAATGCTCGGGATCACAAACAAGGAGATAAAGAAAAAGCCAAAGCGAAAGCGATCTCGTCGAGGTTCTAGCGCTTCAGGGGCGGGGGAGGCGGCGCCATCTTGCCGTCGCCGGTGTCGACCTTCTTCTTCGGAGGCATGGCCGGGACCTTGAACCCTCCGTTCTGGCCTGGTGCTGCGGGGTTGCCAGGGGTCTGCTGCCCGCCAACCTGCGTGAAGGTTCCGGACTTGAACCACCGGTCTTCCTCCGCCTTGCGCTTGCGACTCAGCTCGGCCTGCACCTTGGGGTCAACCAGCTCCAATCCTTGTACCGGCGTAAAAGCGATGGTACTGGCCGTGCCGGCGGATCCACCCAAGGAAGTACCGATCCCCGAAGCCCGGAGACCCCTGGCCTGGAGGACACTGGCAGTTCCGCTGGTGCCGGGTCCTCCACCGAAGGCACGTAGAGAGGTCGAGGTACCACTGACGGGCGTCGCCGTGCCCCATCCCTTGTTGTTCTTGCTGAGCTTGGCCCGGGTCCTCTGGTCGATCTGCGTGGCGCGGATGCGGCCATCGTTCTGCTGGCCAAGCATGCCCAATCCGACCGTTCCTTCTCCCGTGCCATACCCCACCTCCGCTTCTTCCTTGCCAAAGGCAACCCGGTTCTGCGCTTTGCGGAGCTCCGTCATCGCGACGGCCTCCTTGGCCTTGCGGGCCCGCCGACCACCGCGCTTGCGAGAGGGCTTGTCGTCCGGAGCGGGCAGCGCCTTGGCTCCAGAGTTGGGCGCGGGCTCCGTCAACTTCTCCAACCGCTGGAAGCACTGCTGCTTGAGCTCCTCGCCGAGGGAGCCGTCGGGGCTGTAGTTCGAGACGTCGGCGCGGGTGGCGAGCACCATCTTGGCCGACACGATGCGGATCGCCTGCCGCTTGAGGTCGTTCGGGATCTCTGAGATGATGGGCGAATTGTAGAGGAAGCCCTGCGCCCGGATGCCGTGATTCGTAGCAAATCCTAATCCCTCCTTTCTCTTCGAGCCCTGCGCCCCGAGGTTGCAGGCGGGGATCTTAGCCAGCTCGCGTAGACCACCGGTCTGGTTGAGGAACTGCGCCGCCGTCTCCGGGCCGATCAGCGCCGCCAGGTTGGGCGCGATCTGGCTCATGCGCGACTGGATGCTCTCCGTCAACGCGGTGCGCTCCCGGTCGAGCTTCAAGATCCGCTCGCACGTATCCAGCACCGCCTTCAGCTCCGACTCGGTCATCTCCCGGCCTCGCGTCGTCGTGCCCTCCACCGCCACGACCATCAAGGACGGGCCGTCCAGGACGGATCGCAGCGGCACGCCGACCATGTTATCGGCGGAAGTCGACAGCGCTTTGATGTCGTTGAGCGGGCCGTTCTGGAGGATCGCCACCGTCTTGGCGTAGTCGAGCGGCGTCGTGACGAGCGTCTCGAGTTCGGGGAACCGGATCGAGTAGTGGTCGCGCAGAACCTTGTGTAGCCGGGTCAGTTCGTCTTGGGTCGACAGCGCGACGTCGAACTCGTTGGTGATCTCGGGCGCCGCAGGCTGAGCGAGCTGCTCCTCGTCCACCACCATGTTGTCATCGTCATCGCCATTTCCGTCGTCCAGGCCATCTCCGACCTGGAGATCCTCGTCGTCGTCCTCGAAGTCTCGAAGAAGGTCCTCGACGTTCGACATGATGAAACCTGCTGTGAGTTGTGGTTTATGAATCCACTGAGCCGAACTTGGAGATAGCCGACGTTTTGCCCAGAGACGCCACTGACCGCCTAGTGACTAAGCAGAGCAGTATAGCTGGAGGTCTTCGGGCTGGCGCTGCGGACCAAAGGCGCAGGGATTCCGAATTTGGGTCGGGCGGACAAGTCTCGATTTCCCCGACATCATCAAACTGCGCAGGTGTTGCTGGCTTAAGCACACTGTGAAGATTCTGGGAGAGGTGCTTCGTTGTCGAGATCAATCTTAGAAGAGTCCACGCATATTTCCTTCAGAACACGTCCTTCACCCAATTCCAGTGATAACCACTTGACAGCTAGGCAGCGGCTCGCGCACACCGGCCGGGGTCCATCACCCGATAACCACCAACCTCCGACAACACCTTCCTCTACAACCACTTCCACCACCCTCCCCCACACAATGGAAGCCTCACGCGGCCCCCCGCGGGTCAAGAACAAGGCCGCCGCGCCGGTGCAGATCTCCGCGGAGCAGCTGCTCCGCGAGGCGGTCGACCGACAGGAGCCGGCGCTGCAGGCGCCGACGCAGCGGTTCGCGGACCTGGAGGAGCTGCACGAGTACCAGGGGCGCAAGCGCAAGGAGTTCGAGGACTATGTGCGGCGCAACCGGATCAACATGAACAACTGGATGCGGTACGCGGCGTGGGAGCTGGAGCAGAAGGAGTTCCGGCGGGCGCGGTCGATCTTCGAGCGGGCGCTGGACGTGCAGCCGACCTCGGTGGTGCTGTGGATCCGGTATATCGAGTCGGAGATGCGCAACCGCAACATCAACCACGCGCGCAACCTGCTGGACCGCGCCGTCACCATCCTGCCCCGCGTCGACAAGCTGTGGTACAAGTATGTCTACATGGAGGAGACCCTGGGCAACATCCCCGGCACCCGGCAGGTGTTCGAGCGCTGGATGTCGTGGGAGCCCGAGGAGGGCGCCTGGAGCGCGTACATTAAGCTGGAGAAGCGCTACAACGAGTTCGAGCGCGCGCGCGCCATCTTCCAGCGCTTCACGATCGTGCATCCCGAGCCCCGGAACTGGATCAAGTGGGCGCGGTTTGAGGAAGAGTACGGGACGAGCGACCTGGTCCGCGAGGTGTATGGGATCGCCGTCGAGACGCTGGGCGAGGACTTCATGGACGAGAAGCTGTTCATTGCGTATGCCAAGTTCGAGGCCAAGCTGAAGGAGTATGAGCGGGCCCGCGCGATCTACAAGTACGCTCTGGACCGGTTGCCGAGGTCCAAGTCGATGGCGCTGCACAAGGCGTACACGACGTTCGAGAAGCAGTTCGGTGACCGCGAGGGCGTGGAGGATGTCATCCTGTCGAAACGCCGGGTGCAGTACGAGGAGCAGCTGAAGGAGAACGCGCGCAACTACGACGTATGGTTCGACTTCGCCCGGCTGGAGGAGACGTCGGGCGACCCGGACCGGGTGCGCGACATCTACGAGCGCGCCATCGCGCAGATCCCCCCCTCGCAGGAGAAGCGGCACTGGCGGCGGTATATCTACCTGTGGATCTTCTACGCGATCTGGGAGGAGATGGAGGCCAAGGATGCCGGGCGGGCGCGGCAGATCTACAACGAGTGTCTGAAGCTCATCCCCCACAAGAAGTTCACCTTCGCCAAGATCTGGCTCCTGAAGGCGCAGTTCGAGATCCGCCAGATGGACCTGCCGGCCGCCCGCAAGGCGCTGGGTCAGGCGCTGGGCATGTGCCCCAAGGACAAGCTTTTCCGGGGCTACATCGACCTGGAGCGGCAGCTGTTCGAGTTCGTGCGGTGCCGGACGCTGTTCGAGAAGCAGATCGAGTGGAACCCGTCCAACAGCCAGTCGTGGATCAAGTACGCCGAGCTGGAGCGCGGGCTGGACGATACGGAGCGCGCGCGCGCCATCTACGAGCTGGGCATCGACCAGCCGACTCTCGACATGCCGGAGCTGGTGTGGAAGTCCTACATCGACTTCGAGGAGTACGAGGGCGAGTACGACCGCGTGCGCTCCCTGTACGAACGTCTGCTGGAGAAGACCGACCACGTCAAGGTGTGGATCAACTACGCCCGGTTCGAGATCAACGTGCCGGACGAGGAGGAGGAAGAGGAAGACGAGGAGGAGGAGCGGCCCGTCAGCGACGAGGCCAAGCGGCGTGCCCGGGCGATCTTCACTCGCGCGCACAAGGTGTTCAAGGACAAGGAGCTCAAAGAAGAGGTACGTGTGTTGTCTCCCCCCGGTGAGGTTGATACTCAAGCTAACCACCCCCATTCCCACAGCGCGTGGAACTCCTCAACGCCTGGCGCTCGTTCGAGCACACGCACGGCTCCCCCGAGGACATCGACAAGATCGAGAAACAGATGCCGCGCCGCGTCAAGAAGCGGCGCAAGCTGGACGACGACCGCTACGAGGAATACATGGACTACGTCTTCCCCGCGGACGACCAGTCGGCCGCCAACCTGTCCAAGCTGTTACAGAAGGCGCACCAATGGAAGCAGCAGCAGGCCGGGGGTGCGTAGGGCCGGGGCGTGGATGTACGTACATAGCATTAATCATGAATGGATTTGCAGCGTTGCACTTTCCTCATTGTCTCCTACCTGCCCTCCATACATGGAAAGGTTGTATACATTGTAGTAGCTACGGTAGAAAATGGTGAGCGGTTGAGTCCTTCTCCCCTGCCTGTATACATTTATCCATAGCACTAAAGCATCTCGAAAATCAACAATTGGGACGATGGCGCATCTGGGAGCGCGTCAGACTGAAGTACCAACTTCGGCCATTAATCTGAAGGTGGCCGGTTCAAGCCCGGCTCGTCCCATTCTGTTTTTTTTTTCTTTTTTCTTTTTGGGGGTTGTGGGCCCGGTTAAGATTAGTTCAAATCGAAACTGATGGAACTTCGCCACCATCCCGATTTTTTCACTCTTGCTCATCCTTTTGCCACTTGCTGGGTCCTGTACTAAGTTCTTGCGTCATTGTTCAAGCTTTCTTCAATGCTTCCAATGTGTAAGCTCATCCTTGGGGCGAGGGTGATGGCATTGGGTTTATGGTCGTAGTTTGGGTTGACATTGCCGTTGCCGATGTTTCCCGCTTTTTGCGTGGACGTGTGCAGAAGTATATAGTACTGCAGCGTAGAATACGACCACCGCCTCAGGCAACGATAGATATGAAGAGGATTCATTGTACCAGAACCGAAACTAAGAATTCGACAATATGAAAGGATCAAACCTAATCCCACAGCAATTCTATCTTCTATGCAGAACGAAAAAAGCGTGAGATTTCCTATGCTCGTCTTTCGTAACTCAATCCCGCATGACGCATCACATATCCGCAAAGCAAAAGGAAAGCCCAAAGGCAGAAAAGAAACCGTATCAACACGAGAAAAAAACTATATCTAAAAACCCAAGCCGCTTGCAAAATAACCAAATGAATGTGCACACGTAGTTTATGCCATAAAATCATTTTTCACCCTTTCCGTCTTCTAAGGGTACCAAAACATACCCAGGTCAAATGGGGGTATGGATGGGGTAATGTAGCAACGGCCGCTTCAGTCCACATACTTCGGCAGGGTCTTGAGGATGCCGTCGCGGTCGATCTCCTCCATGGCCTGGGTGATCTGGGCCAAGAAGCGCTCGTCGCTGCGCAGATCGTCGCCGAAGAGGGTCTTGATGCTGAGCAGCTGGTGGGGCTTGGTGCCGCCGGCGCGGGCCTTGGCCTGCAGCTCGTCGCGCATGGGGTCGTCGACCTGGAAGTGATTGCCGGCGTCGTCGACGCCGTTGACGTAGCGGAACCAGGCGGCGGCGACGAAGCACAGGCGGCGGAAGGGGGCCTTGACCCAGATGGCCTCGGCGATGGAGGGCATGATGAACTGCGGGATCTTGCCGGAGGCGTTGAGGCAGATGCGCGGCAGCTGGTCCATGATGGTGGGGTTCTCGAAGCGGCCCATCAGGGTGCGGCAGTACTCGTCGATGTCGACGCCCGGGATGTCCGGGAGCAGCGGCTTGACTTCGTCCTGCATCATCTGCCAGACGAACTTGTTGAAGGTCGGGTTCTCCATCACCTCGTGCACGTACTGGAAGCCCGCCAGCTGACCCGGGTACCCGAGGGCCGAGTGGCTGCCGTTCAGCAGGCGCAGCTTGTGCTTCTCGAACTGCTCGACGTCGTGCACGTTCTTGACGACCTGCACGCCCACCTTCTCGAAGGGCGGGCGGCCGTCGGCGAACTGGTCCTCGATGACCCACTGCATGAACGGCTCGGTCACGACGGGCCAGCCGTCCGCGATGCCGAACTTGTCGGCCAGGGCGGTCTTGTCGGCGGCGGAGGTCTGCGGCGTGATGCGGTCGACCATGGCGTTGGGGAAGGCGCCCTGCGTGGCGATCCACTCGGCGATCGCGGGGTCCTTGAGCCGCGCGAACGACTCCAGCATGTGGCGCGTGATGGAGCCGTTCTTCTGCATGTTGTCGCACGACATGACGGTGAACGGCCGGAGGCCCTGCTGGTGGCGGCGGGCCAGCGCGGCGTACAGGAAGCCGAAGGTGGTGCGCGGGGCGGTCTCGTGGGCCGGGTCCAGGTCGTACTGGATGTCCGGGTGCTCGTTCTGCAGCTCGTGCGTGTTCTCGTTGTAGTAGTAGCCGCTCTCGGTGATGGTCAGCGAGACGATGTGCGTGTCGGCGTGCGCCATCTTGGCGATCACCGCCTCGCGGTCGTCCGGCGCGAACAGGTACGAGTTGATCGCGCCCACGACGTGCGCGAAGCTCCCCTTGGCCGACCGCTCGATCACCGTGTACAGGTGGTCCTGCCCCCCCAGGGCGTCGCGCATCGCCGCGTCAAACGGCTGCAGTCCCACGCCGCAGATGGCGTAGTTCTTCTCCCCGTGCTTCTGCATCAGCTGGTCGACGTACACGGCCAGGTGGGCGCGGTGGAAGCCGCCCACCCCGACGTGGACGATGCCCTCCTTCACGGCATCCCCGCGCTGGTAGGTCGGTACTTGGACCTGGTGCGCGCCGGCGGTCGAGGCGATCTGTGAGAGGTTTTGGTTGCTGAGCTTGAGGGGGGCCATTGTGTGTGTAGGGAGTAGTTTTGGGAGGTAATTGAGAGGAGAGGAGAGGGGATTAAGGAAGAGTAGGAAAAGTTTGGACAGAGAATAAGGCAAAGAAAAAAGGGGTGTGATAAAGTTTGCTGGTCAGGTGGAAAAGAAGACACAGACTCACGCAGCTTCACCGCCGCTTTTTTTAACTGAGTTGGACAGCATTACATCATGCAACGAGCACGTAGTGGGGAAAAGCACAGGCAAATAGCAGAGGTGGCGGTGGAGACCTTTTGTGGAGGCGGTTATCGAGCTGTTATCAAGGGCTGTTGAGCTGAAGTCTGTGCTTTGTGCTTTGTGCTTTGCAATCAATAAAGAACCTCCTTGCGTCAGAGCTCCGAAACTCCGAACAATCCAGAACGCTTCTTCCGTGCTTCGGTGAAATTTCCACCCGCCCTAGAGTATTAGAATAACTTTAAGCATTATCTTAGATTATCTTATATTGGCACAGCATAAGTCCCGCTGCTAGGGCAAGCCCTGCCGGTCAGGTGATGTGGCCACTTTTGCCTGAGGCAGAAGCTGTCATCAGTCATCGTACAGTACTCAATTCACAGGGTTTATTGATCGCTACCACTATTTTCTTTTTGAATAGAAAATATGCAAATCTTTCTATATTCCGCATCAGGCTAATGGTGCCGATTCTATTTTCGTAGGAGGGAGACTCCTTCCAGCCCGAGCATAGTCTCGCGCTTCGAGCCGCCTGGATTCTGTAGTTGCTGCCATCTGCCCCACTCCTGACTATATTCCCCAAAAAGGCTATTCATTCGGGTTGAGGAGAATCTGGCCCCTACTCATACTTAGAACCGACGTGAGACCTCGTCAACAATCCTCAGCAAGCCGCTTTTCTGTCTACAGCAATTTCTTCGAACTCCAACACCCCCATTCCACTGTATAAGTATCGCCAGGTTGCCTTATAATAATTCAGGGAATCGGTTGATCAGCTGTCTATACAGATATCTTTTGAATCAAGGTCGAACCTTTTCCTAAGAGCCGAGTCTATATTTTTAACCAAGGTCACGAGTCTGCTTAGTACATACTGAAACGATACCCCAATATCCCTGGTATGAAACTATTCTAGGCCTTTCCCGATTCAATTGTTATAACGAGGACTTACAGTATGAGGATCACATAAGCATGGCTTGCTGCTTATTATACGGCTGATCCGAAGGAGAACGATGGCACTGGCCCCCCACGCTTGGATCCGAGCAACCTCCGGTCTGGTGATTTTAATATGCGATATCTACACAGCAAAGGCTAGATGCCAGGTCTGTGTGATTGCTGTACACCACCGGGATTGCAATTGCAGCCGACGTCTGCACCTCTTTCAATCTGGAAACAGATGACGACCCATCAATTAAGTCTTGTTCATACGTGCAGGTGCGGGAATCGCATAGCCAGAGTGTGTGTTATACGCGTATGTCAAGCTATCTTGCATAGGTCTAGACGTGATTGGGTGGAATGGGAATTTCGCACAGCCAAGTCTAGAAGTTATCTCAACGGAATTGCTGGATATTACTGTGACGTGAGTGTAGCAGCTATCTGCACCTCTTTCAATCCGGAAAGACATGATAGTCCAACAACAGAGCCCTGCATATACGCGCATGGCACATATGCTAGACATAGACTGCATAGCCAGAATATGTCGTACAGGGATGTCAATCCATCTTTCAATGCCCTTGAAGTGATCAGGTGAAACGGGACTTTGCATAGCCTACCAAGGGTAAAGAGACAGACCTAAAGAGGGAAATATCACGGCAGCAAGAGTTTCTGACAAGATGGATGAAAACACAGCAACAAAAACAAGACAAAAACATACAACAGAAGGGATTCGCTGGTGGTCACCCACCCAACTACTAACCTCCCGGCTGTCAACTTGGTGTCATAATCCTACTATTGCGGGCTGTTAGACAACGTTACTCGATATATCATAGAGGGATCTTTATTTATAGCTTCCGATTGCGAGGTACTTTGAGCCGAGATTCGCGCCGACTGCATCAGTATGGTGGGGGAATCCTGAGACAATGTCGAATAAGGCTTCAGAGTATGAAACGGGTTGACTGGCCGCCTGTCTACATGAAATCTTGTCTCAATCTTTGTGCACAGCCGTTACCCACACAGCCATTCAACACTAGCATATTCCTCGGATCACCATTCGCGAGCCAGACCAGTCTATCAACTGTGTTGGCTAGAACCTCGACAGCCCCAACGGGGCAAACATCTTCAGAGATGACGATCACTACGCCGAAGACTACTACAGAAACTAGAACATCATCTTCCACGCTTGTATCGACTTCAACCAGTTCATCATTGTCCGCCACACCTAGCACTACCGGCGTTGACATTTCCCCTGACGGCACCTGTGGTGAGTCCTACGGGTACACCTGTGCTGGCTCGCAGTTCGGAGATTGTTGTAGCAAATGGGGATATTGGTGCGTGAACACTCAGTAATAAAGGAAACAAAGCTGAGCAGGAAATTGACCTTTATGTCCCAGTGCTTCGACAAGTGATTACTGCGGAAGTATTTGTGATTCAACCTTTGAAAATTGCGATATATTCAACATTACACAAGCCTCCACCTGTGATATCCCTGCTAAATTTAATCCTCTGCTACCACAGAATAGAATATCTCTCCCAACGGCCTCTGCGGAGCAGCTCACGATGATTATACCTGTTTAGGATCGCAGTTTGGAAGCTGCAGCAGTATTTACGGTTACTGGTATGTGAAATATAGAAGAAGAAGAACTAGAAGAACAGCTGTCTTTCTAATACTTCAAGGGGGCTTTTGATTTGACTACTGACTTTTCAACAGTTGCTCAAGCACAAACTAATGTACCGCAAGCCGTGTGATGGTTCGTATGGGGAATGTGACTTTGACTTGTAAGCACATCTAATTCCTTCTCGATAGCAGTTAAGAGCGTATGATGAACAAAAGTAAATTTTTATACTATTAGGAGTATCCTATAGTAACCTCATATTATAAGTAATCCCAATTAAACAAATTTTTGCCGTATAACAAACTATAGAACCACCGGGTTTGTTCTACTATACAGAATTCGGTGTATTGCTTTATATTGAAGATTGTTGAACTTATCAGTCTCTATATACAATTTTTATTATATTGATCAGGTATAATTACCTATTTAGGGAATTCTTTTTAGAAATCTTTAGTATAAAATCTCAGAATTTGGTAATATTTACTTAGTCAGCATTCTCTCGAAATCCAATAAGATCACAAGAAAGCTGTTTTAAATACATTTGATAAAACAATTATCTTGATATAACAAATAAAAGGAGCCGTCTCAATCAACTTATTACATTGTGAGGCTACTGTAATCACTGTCTGTGATCGAAATTTTCATAGATGGGTCTTCCAATCAATAGTTTTACACTAAACTCCAACTAATTTTACACATCAGCGCTCGGCAGGAAGTATTTGGTGGTCTGAACTGATGATCCCTTGCCTATAAATAGCGATATCTACCCGTCATCTTCTGCACTTATCGTCTTTTAGCTCCTCCCCTAATAAGATGCAAGCTCTCCTTTCACCAGCGCATGTGTGGCCTGGTGGTATCCCATCTGCTGTCCACCTACACCCGGATAGCGAGCTCGATGCGGATGATTTGCTAGAAGAAAGTAGAGGCTGGTGCCTGTTTTTGAAGGTAAATCTTATCCTATGTAGGCATAGACATGCCCGAAACTGACCTGATCTAATCCCACCTGACAGGAAACTTGGAATCCTTCTTCTGACCCAGAGGAGGATAGGACACAACGACGGACTCTGGTGGAGAGATGGGCGGCTGCGGATCAGACCTTTCGTGATGTAGAGCCCCCCGTATGGGCGCATGACCTGCGGAGTGAATGGGGAGCCTAACTTCGAATTTACTTTTCCTAGTCATATCATTCACGTGCACCACTTTCAGAACTAACCGATTTCCATGGCTCATCGGTTTCTAAGCGCTTTGTTTGTCTCGTGGACAAGCCCTACGAGCCTGAGAACTATTCCCGCATTACCAAGCTCTTGATCCTACTGTACATCCACCTTCAGAATACAGTCAGTCATCCGCTGAGCTACAACCCAGAAATCCCTGCTCCGCAGCTCCCAGCATGGATGATCGATCCCGCCGTGAATGATGACTATAGGCGACTTCTGGTTGCAGAGAACCTGCCTACGAGCTACTACCTCGAAACACCTCATTTCGGCGGGATGGCGATGACCCGCGCTGGTAACGTCGTCTTTCCTCGCCTCGACGCGTACGAATATGTTGTGATCGACAACCAGAGCTGCGAAGACGGGCGCCTCTGCTTGCTCAATTTCGCCCTCAATGGGCAAGTTGCCTACCAGGCGCGTGTACTCCCATACCACCTGGGTCCCCTTACATCACTCCGCTATGGATTGGGCCATCTATGGAGCGAGCTCATGGACGAGAGACCCGAGGCAAGGCGAGCTGCCAATAAGCCGTACGTGATCGGTGTATTGTTTCTGTTCTGAGTACACCACAGACTAACGATCATGAAATCTTAGAATTGATCTCCATCCGCCGCTCTTGGAGATCATGGCAAAGCTCAGCCAGCGGGGGGACCTGCAATCGTTTAATGACTACACCCCGGGGGAGTGGGCCGAGGAGTTTGAGCGATTCGCCCCGGGGTATTTGCAGTACGAGCAGCAGGGTCGGGTTGATGAATACAGCTGGGATCATCTGGTAGATGTATCAAAAGACCCATTTGTTACCTATAATCATCTTCGCAATGCCCGACGGCTTGCTGAGTTGCAGAGACGAGGTCCTGTTTGATTGAGCTCTGCCTCTGCCTTCGGCTTTCTTGTCTGATTACCAGACAAACGATGCAGGCGAGGCATATATCACTTTAATTGCCCCCCAATTCAGGAAGCTCTTCAGTTGTTCATACTTTTAGTACAGGCTCTAATTATCATGATGCTCCAAATGTCTCTAGATTTTGGACATGCACCGACCCATATCTCCCACTGCACCTACCTGCTGCTCCAGAACCTCATGTGCACCGCGAATGTCGACATCTACACCCACTACTGGGCGGATGCGCAGCTGAACGCCTTCCCCGACTTCAGCGTCAACCACAAATGCCATGATTTTGACGCCATCTGGCGTTGGCAGGAGGAGAACTCGGTCGATGTGGACGAGTTTGCTGCCATCCGGAAGCCACATGATGCAGCGGCCAGGGTGATGTCGCATCGATTCAAGGAGCTCTTTGGTTGGTACGATTCCAACCCTGATGATGGCTCTGATAGTGGGATAATTGGATAATGATAACCACCATGTAAGCGGCTGTGGAGGCCAATATCAAGGTCGATGATCGGCCCAGCACTAGTACTTGGGGTAAGTCTGAGAGCGGGGTTGGGTGGAATAAGGGTCCGGGATTTGTCTGCTTTCTTATCAAGCATTTGGGCTACTGCATGGTATGCTTGATTGCGTTTGATTACGCTCGGTCACCAATCCCTGCTAGCGCCATTAACGGGCTGAGAAAACAAAGGTACGATGTATGCTTTCGAAACAGGAACCACGCGATGTAACCTAGAAAATGAATGGCTCAAGCCACCCTACTTGGAAGCCTAGAACTAGACAAGGCAGCTTTGGGGGCTTCCACCGTATACGGATTCCATATTGTAAAGGGGACTTTTCCGTTGCTCCTGCCCCAGCCAGCTGAACGTGGAATGCGGACACGAAACATGCCCTACTCAACACGCTTCCTCTATAGCCTCTCAGCAGCATTGATATTCCTTCTTTTCGTCACTATCGGCGTCGTATTCAATTCAGTGGGCAACTGGAGCAGCCTCTCACAACCCTTCCAGCTCCATGTTTGTGCCAGCGAGCCCCCTCCCCCACCTCCAGTCATTCGCCAATTCCAGCCCTTGACCCCGAAAACCTCATGGGAATCACTTCTTCTCCCCCAGAATGGCGGCATCCTCAAGGTCCGAACAAGCAACAACACCGTAACCGACTACGGGATCTCCATGTTCCACCAGCTCCACTGTCTGACGGTTCTTCGTGGGCTGATATTCCCTGAGACGACCCATCATCACGGAGTGCCCACAACATCACCTTCACACTCGGGCGATGCTCATGAAGACGCTGTGCACTGGGAGCATTGCTTCGATTACATTGCACAGGTGAGTTGCTTGTGGTGCACCTGGTGACGTTCCCGCCATCCTCTGACAGTTGGAAGGCTATAATCTGTGCGGCAGACGACACTATCGAACCGCCTCGCTCGGCTGTCGATAAAGATGGAAAACGCGTCTTGATCATCGACGGGCTGGGACATCCGCATCAGTGCAGAGACTCGGAGTTGTTATGGCGGGCTGTCCAAGATAGTGAAGTTCATCCTGTTGATCTTGCTCGAGTGAAGGGCACAGTTAGCCGCAGTAGGATTCTGCTCGATCATTGATTATGAGATATGTTAGGATATTTGTAGATGAAGGTTTTGTGCACAGTAGAAGGTGAATGGCTAGGGTTTCAGGCTGCGTCCAGGCAGCCACGCGCTTACGTCGATTGACCAGGGACCCTGGTCAGTCACATGTCCAGCTTATCTCTCCTTCTCGCCATCAACATCCAATCTTCAAATATCGCTCTCTCCTCTCTCCTCTCTTTCAAATTGTCATCTACCACCTTCTTTTGTGTCTGGATGCTAAACCTCGAACCGTACCATGGCAGCCAGCTGCTCGCCCGTAGCGGACAACTCGTTTGGACCGGACATCGCCTGTCCACCAATCTTTGACTTTACTCTGCTGTTCGAACAGAGTATCCTATCAATCGGCCCATCGGCCATTTTTCTCCTCGTGGTCCCTTGGCGGATCTGGTCGCTCTACACAGAAAACATCAAAACGGTCGCCAACAGGGCCCATTGGCGCAAGCTTGTCCGTCGTGCCTCCATCTGATCGTCATTGGCACACATGCTAACAGTTGGTCTGGCCAATTGAAGGCTGTTGCGGTCTGCCTCGTCGGTCTACAGATAGCCTCGGTGGTCGAGTGGGCGCGCCACAACCTCCTCAGGACGGCCCTCCCTGCCATCGTCTTATCTCTGCTCGATTCCATATGCATCGCTGTCCTAACAGCCCTCGAACACGATCGCTCACTGCGCCCGTCGTCGCTTCTGAGCATCTATCTTCTGCTCTCAACGCTCTTTGATGCCGTGCAAGTGCGCACCTTATTCATCCGGCACTACCCATCTCCTTTGCCAGCACTAGCTGTCGCATCCGTTGCATTGAAGCTTGTTCTACTAACATTGGAAGCGCAAAGTAAACGCAAGTATCTGAAGTCACCATTTCGTGTCACCTCGCCCGAGTCAACTAGCGGAATCTTTGCCCGCACTGTCTTCTGGTGGCTCAACGGCCTATTCCTCACAGGCTTCCGAAAGCTTTTGACGGTTGAGGATCTATTTCCAACGGACGAAGACTTGAACTCAAGCCGTCTGGGACGAAGAATTCGAAGAGCGTGGGGCGAATGTATGCTTCTCTTTCGCTGCTCTGGTCTGTGGCATTCTTACTGACTATTGACACTTGCAGACCAATCTAGCCGTACACGCAGCCTCATCTATGCGACCGTGATCAGTCTGCGCTGGGCAATTCTTCGAACGATATTCCCGAGACTATGTCTGATCGGATTCAGCTACGCGCAGACGTTTTTTATCCAGCGTGCAATCGAGCATCTACACAGACCCGACAATCAGCTGACAAGAAACGAGAACTATGGCTTGATCGGGGCCGCAGCGCTTATCTATGGAGGAATTGCAGTATGTGAATCCTAGTCATTCAACCGAAGAAGGGCTAACCGAATTCAGATATCGACGGTGCATTACAAACACCAACTATTCCGGATGATCACTATGTTCCGAGGCGCAGCCGTTGCTTTGGTCTACGACCACACCATGGTCCTTGCGGATGGTCCTCGCGATGATTCGGCTGCTGTAACCCTTATGAGTACAGACGTTGATATGATCGCACGGTCGCTCGAGCAAATCAGCGAGACATGGGCTCGATTGGTGGAGATTGCCATTGGTATCTGGCTCTTAGAGCGACAGCTTGGTGCCGTTTGCGTCGCCCCAATTCTTGTGATTCTCTGTAGGTTCCCTTCCGTCTTTGTGATTCCTTGTATCTGAGACATTGCTCTGCCATAGTATGTACATCCGTCCAGACGTATATGGCAACTTTCATGCCTGCGAGGCAGAAGGTCTGGGTCGGCGCAATCCAACGCCGTGTGAGCATAATTTCCACGGCGCTGCGGTCGATGAAAAGCGTCAAGATGCTTGGACTGTCTGAGACGCTCGCCACGACTCTTCAGGCACAAAGAGAGCGAGAGCTGGATTTGTCTAAAGACTTCCGATGGTTGATCGTGTGGCTGAACGTGGTTGGTAAGTATCTTGCCTGCTTGCAATCGTATGAGTCCACTGACTGTAGGAAGCGAGCCTGCCTCAAATGTGTGCCTCTCTCGTCACATTCGCGGCTTTCGTTATCCGTGCAAAGATCGACCATTCGGACACACTGTCGACCGTGCAGGCTTTTACATCCCTTGCGATCATCAGTCTCATCACGAGCCCGGCGCTACAGCTCCTGGCGTCGATTCCGGCCATGACAGCCGCTTTGGGTGCTTTTGACCGTATCCACAAATTCCTTGTTTCTCCTTCCGTGGTACTCTCACCGTCAGAAGATGATATCGACCATGAAACAGATAGCTCTAGTGGCAACGGGTCAATGGTGGAATTGAAGGCATTGGCACCCAAAGCACAGCCCAATTCTGACCCAATTGTTCTACAAATGACGGGCGCGTATATTCATCCGATTCCTGGATCTGACTTCTGTCTAGTAGATATCAACCTCACAATCAAGAGAGGCACTGTGACGATGCTTGTTGGTCCTGTTGGGAGTGGAAAGTCTACCCTCTTGAAAGCAGCGCTGGGCGAACTACCCTGTGAGCGAGGAACGATCACGAGAGCACGGCGAGATGCTGGCTACTGCAGCCAAAGTCCATGGCTTCAGAACACCACCATTCGCAATAATATCTGTGGTTACTTAAAGATGGACGTTAAATGGTACAAAGAGGTCCTGAGGGCATGTGCATTGGAGCAGGACATCTCCCGAATGCCGCAGGGGGATCAGTCTGTGGTCGGCAGTGGGGCGCTCAAGCTGAGCGGAGGACAGAAGCAGCGTCTCGTATATCACCAACGCCTATTATTGTCGCTTCCTACTGACGGTTTCACAGGCAATAGCTCGAGCCATGTACTCGCGGAAAGGGCTTCTAGTACTTGATGATGCCTTAAGCGCTGTTGACATGAAGACAGCACAGTATGTTCTTGAGGCCTGCTTTGGCTCTAATGGAGTCTGCCGGAAAATCGGTACGACTGTAATTATGGCAATTCATACAGGTTAGTACAGGTCAAGATAATCCAGGCAGCCAAAGCTAAGTCCTGGTTTAGACCAGCATTCGCATTTCGCGGATCACATCGTCATGTTGAATTCGAACGGACGTATCGAGAAGCAAGGCTCTGTGCGGAGCTTAGGTTTAATCTCGCAATCAACTACACATGCTACGGAGGCCAGTTTAGAAACACCGATGGCCGAAGATGAGAGTGGAGACAAGTCTGCCTCTACGAAAAAGGTGGAGACCCTCACTGTTGACGACATAGCCGATATAGCTCGCCGCACAGGCGATGTTGCAGTCTACACGTACTACATGAGGGCCATCGGATGGCCGAGTATCTTGGGAGCTTGTCTAATTATTGTAGTGCACACATTCTCCTCTACCTTCCCCCGTAAGTATATCCACATTATGCATCCTACTCTGCTAACTGGGCTACAAGAGGTATGGTTGGAACTGTTCACGAACGACGATGGCCAGAAAGCCGCCCAGTTCATTGGTATCTACGTTCTGCTTGCCGTAGCTGCCTCAGGATCCCAGGGCTTTATGATATGGTAGGCCTGTAACATGATCTTCGCTGTATGTCTAGCTAACTATTGATCCAGGCAAATCATGATCAAGATCGTCATCAAGTCAGGATTAGAGCTACACCGGGTTCTTGTCCGAACTGTAGTCGATGCGCCGATGTTTTTCTTTGCTGGGGTTGATTCCGGCGTCATCTTGAATAGGTTCAGCCAGGACATGACCCTTGTAGATGCTGTCCTACCCACTATGGCTTTCGGAACCGTCCTGAGTATGTGGATCATTGCCACTCAAGTCTAAAGCTAATTCCACTTCCAGGTGTCGCACAATGCTTTGCCCAGGTTGCGCTGATATCACTGGGCTCGAGCTACATGGCTGTGACGATAATCCCGTGTTTCCTGGTACTATACTGCGCGCAGAAAGTCTACCTGCGAACTTCCAGACAGCTCCGATTCCTCGACCTTGAAGCTAGAAGCCCCCTTTATACACTATTCGTGGAGACTCTCGAGGGTCTGTCTACCATCCGAGGCCTTGGATGGCAACGGCCATTTGTGGCAGAGTGCTTACACCGACTCGACGATTCGCAAAAGCCATACTACCTCCTCTATTGTATTCAGCGGTGGCTCAACGTTGTCCTTGACCTCCTCGTTGCCGCTCTAGCTGTGATCCTGATTGCACTGGCCACGTCGTTGCGAGACTCCACCGACCCAGGAAAGCTCGGAGTCTCCTTGACCGCAATTATGGCATTCAGTCAGACCCTGCAAGAGGTGGTGTCCAGTTGGACTTCTCTGGAAACCTCCCTTGGTGCGATTGCAAGGACAAGGTCTTTCGAGATGAAGACGCCCTCTGAGCATCATGCTCGGGAAAGGGCGGTTCCGCCACCAAGCTGGCCTGCTGATGGACGGATTGAGATCAATTCTCTTTCTGCCTCATATGAGTGCGTGTTTTATCTCGTGTCTCAGAATATAAACCTCTGACTAATGTTCATTACAATTCTACAGTGGAACCACGCGCGCATTAGACAGTGTGTCTCTGAGTATCGAAGCTGGAGAGAAAGTCATGATCTGTGGACGAACTGGCAGGTGAGTCTTCCATTGCATATAGGATATTTATAGAGCTACATCTCACTAATCTCTGCACAGCGGCAAGAGCACGCTCATCTCGGCCCTTCTGCGTCTTCTCGACCCTCTAAGTGGCACGATCGCCATCGACGGGCTGGACATCTCCACCATCCCCCGTAACGAGCTTCGGTCCCGCGTCATCGCCATCCCGCAGGACCTTTTTCTTCTTCCTGGCTCCATCCGCTTCAACCTGGATCCCACCGGCCGCGCAGCGGACTCGACTCTGCTTTCAGCCCTAGAGCGGTGCAACCTTCTGGCTGTGGTCACATCGCGCGGAGGCCTGGAAGAAGAATTAACGTCTGCCTCCTTGTCGCAAGGCGAGCAGAGGCTGTTCGCGCTGGCGGTGGCTTTGGTGCGCAAGTGGAATCGCGAGGGCGAGTCTGCTGGAGGAGAAGGTCGCGGCGGAATCTTAATCCTGGATGAGGCGACCAGCGGCACCGACGCTGCGACTCACGCTTCGATGCAGCAGGTGGTCAACGAAGAATTTGAAGGGTATACGGTCTTGCAGATCTCGCACCGGCCTGATGAGATTCGGGGTGTTGATCGGGTGGTTGAGATGGAGGATGGGCGGGTGGTCAGGGGGTAGGCTTGTTCAGGACTGATGTGCCTGGATGATATTGTGGCTCTATAAGAGGGCGCTCTTAGTCTAGGCTCAAGTCGAAACTTAAGTATCTCAGCAGGCTAGTTATTGTATTCTACATTGCTGGAAGAGCGAGCAGCAGAGCGATTGTGACAGTTGGGCTCAAACTATAAAGGCCAAAATGAAATTTCAGCCCCAAACAAGGTTGGCTAGTTGGGGCCGATTGGACGTGCAGGGCTGACGGGGCTTACACGCCGGCCGCTAGTATTCATACTTCATACTGTACATAGTGAGATTGTTAATTCAATGCATAACTAGGACGCCCAACAGAATAACAAGGGATTGCGTTCGGGTGGTTGTGGCTGACGGTGTCGGTTAGTTAAGGTAGTAGTGCTTACCGCCGTCAATTAATTTCTACCTTGTTTCATCAACCAAAACAGCACCACACTCATCAACACCCTACCAAGCTCCACCATCAGCAATGGAGACCTTCTTGAAAGAATTTGGCTCCGAGCTCCTGGAGCGACCAGAAGTCCAAGCCCTTGCGGACCTCCTCCAGAAACCCGACGTCTCGCCTACCGCAGCCGTCCAACAACTCCTTCAGGCCCGCGAGATCCCACCGCAGAAGGGGGACGAGCCCCCGAGCAGCAACAACGCAGGCAATCATGCGTGGTTCACAATGTTCCCGCTCGTCGAGCTCGCAAGTCTCACCCCGGCTGCGCAGCAGGCCAAGCTCATCGAGTTCGTCGCCCAGCTCCAAAAGACCCCCGTCCTCGACCCGGTCACGGGGCAACCGGTGACAGTGGCCGATGATCTGACATTGTGGACCGATCTCCCTTATCTCCGCATTTATTTGGCTGATAGGTCTGGTTTCCGTGCGTTGACCCCCTCTCTCCTTCCCCTTTCCGCCGCTGTCGGCTTTGTTGCGCACCCCCACTGACTGGACTCAAGCAGGTTATGTTAAGGGAAAATACCCCGAGGCAGAGGCGTATCCCCCAGCCGAGGTCCAGGAGTGGGAGAACCGGAACGCGTTCATGGCGCAGCTGACGGCCGCGGCGGCGGAGCTCGGCCATCCCATGGACCTTTCGCTGTATGGCCTGTACGCGTGCCGGAGCGCATTCGAGGAAGAAGAGGGGCTGGGCGAGGAGGCGGTGCGCGCGGCCTGTATTTGGTTCATCCATGCTGGGGGCCGGATGTGGGAGAATTGTCAGGCGCGACGGGGGTTCGGGGATCGTCCGCAGGATCCACGCTTTTTCGATCTGCCCCGATGGCGGCGCTGGGAGGAAGGATTGCGGACGGCATCGCGGGAGTTCTCTCGGGAGAGTACGCAGGAGCTGATCCAGAAGGCATTGATGGAATTTGGGAGGGTTCAGAGCAGGATACGCTGAGGAGGTTTCTATGAACTGGGCGTACTCGTATGCTGTTTTGGCTCTATAGTCTGATACAGTAGTTCTAGTGATAGACCTGTCGCTGAAAATTGCCTCGAGGTATGTATGTCGGCATACAGTTGGCTTTTGCATCTGGAATTTTATATCTGTCCGGGAGCGGTTCACCTGTCCTGGATCTCCCTGCCATCCAGCCTAGGATGATGTGGTATAGATAGGAATAGGTTGACATTTGTTGTCGCAAGGTGGAAAGGATGACTACAAGAATAATTACTACGCACGATCGTGCTGATTTCATATTAGCTGGACATTATCACCGCACCACCACGCGCCAATCTGTATTTCTGGACCGACTTTGAAGCTTAATTTGAGAAGCATGATGCTCAACTCAAAGTGCATCTTAGACCGCGATGGCCTTGAGTTATCTTTCTTACCAAGTTGGATCCATAAGACGGAACTAAGAACTTGAAGTTAAACAATAGCGATGAGGAGGTGCGGGCGGGCTGGCGCGTAATCATTACACCTGATTCACTTACCGGTCTTCGTCTAACTTTTATTTAGTTCAGATAGGTAAATTGAATAAGGAGAAGGCTGCGTGGTGCACCAACAGCCGTGATACTATCCTGACCATGAATTAATGGCTGAATGTTCTTAGGGCATGGAGCGAGTGAGCGGCTTACTTGAACCAGCAGGGACCCCCGGACAGAATCTACTGCGAAGCTACATATCTAACTGGGCGAAGAGATACTAAGTCATAGAGAAATGGCGGCGTAGCATGAAGGAAATTATCCGTACATAATCCTGTTGTTAGTGGGTGGGTGGATTAAGGCGCAGGGAGCAGAGACCATCAGCACACAAGTAAGCACTAGATTTAAGCGTTTCATGGCACCAGGCCTGTCAATTCAAATGATCCTTGCAGCTGGCGGCTACTAGACACTAGATAGAGCCTCCGTCGACTTTAGTGTAGTGACTAGATACCTATTAGTACTACTATGTAAGATACCTTACCCACCGAGTAGCATTAGTAGGTATACACTTCCTCTTACTACTGTAAGCCCTAGAGTCCAGTGGATACCCACCGTCCCCATTGGCCAACCCATGTATGACTGGAGCCCCCGCGGCCAGAACCAGTGATTTAGCTGTAATCTGGCGGTGTTATTGCTGTCTTACGTTACTTTATCACTATACGGTACGGGAACTAATGTATTGACCAATTTGGGCTCCTATAAATACCGCGATCGCAACCCAGGTTGTTTTCTTTGGACGAAATGTCAGCCCATAGTTCCCTACTTACGCATTGATACTCAGACTATCAACTCACTCTTTCAACAATGGATTATCAAGTGGACACTCCTCCTCTCGAAGCAGACTACGTGATCGTCGGAGGGGGCACCTCCGGTCTTGTTCTTGCTGCTCGACTGTCTGAGGGAGACTCGGCCCGCTCAGTCATCGTTTTGGAGGCAGGGAAGAACTTAATCGATGATCCTCGAGTTCAGACTCCTGCCCTCTGGACCACGCTGATGGGGTCCGAAGCAGATTGGCAGTATCAATCCACGCCTCAGGTATGCTTCCTTTGCTTCTTCTGCCTCACGTGCCACAGCACGCATGCTGATGTTGATAATCAGGCTGCTCTCGGTGATCGAGTCATCAAAGAACCGCAGGGCAAGCTGCTTGGTGGCTCATCCGGCATCAACGGTCAAGCCTTTGTAGCGCCCACAAAGGCGGGAATTGATGGCTGGGAACGGCTGGGGGCAACGGGTTGGAACTGGGCCAATCTCTCCCCGTACTATAGAAAGGCCTTCACTCTGCACCTGCCAGATGAAGAGACCCGTGACCATATCGGCACAAGCTGGGTCGACCCTGAGGTCAACGGAACTTCGGGCCCAATCAAGGTCTCTTTTCCAGCCGTGCGACAAGACCCGCTGTGCAAGGCTTGGGTTGACACTTTCCGAGACATGGGCAACGGCGTCACCGGCGATCCTTTCTCAGGGGTATCGACGGGCGGTTACTCCAACCTGGCCGCTGTCGATGCAGAAACAAAGACCCGCAGTTATGCCACCACGGGCTATGGTGTGCCCGCAACCCAACGTCCAAGCGTTCGCATCCTCACCAATGCAGTCGCTCGTCGAATTCGTCTTGTTTCTGGGGAATCAAGGGTTACAGCCACGGGAGTGGAAGCAGACATTGAGGGGCAAGCTACAGTCATCAAGGCTAAAAAGGAGGTGATTCTTACAGCTGGGGCTCTCAATACTCCGAGACTGCTCGAATTGTCCGGTATTGGTGGCAAAGCCATTCTCGATAAGTTCGGCATTCCGGTCGTGATTGAAAATCCCAACGTCGGCGAGAATCTCCAGGACCATCTCATGAGTGGGATCAGCTTCGAGGTGAAGCCGGGGGTGATGACCGGTGATCCACTTCTGCGTCAGGAGCCGGACGCGGTCCAGACTGCATTGCAACTGTATGCAGAACACAAAGCTGGACCTATGACCGTGGGCGGGGTGCAATCCTGCGCCTATATGCCTATCATCGAGTATCAAGGCCGCCAGGAAGCGAAGCGGGCGCATCTCGAAACCTTCCGGGGTCCCCCAGATGCTCGCCACGAAGTGATCCGAGACATCTACGGAGCATCAGATGCGCCCACCTGCTCGATGTTCATGTTCCTGGCCCAGGCAAACCTGCATCAAGATGGCAAGAGCTTTGTCGGCCAGGAGCTTCTGCCGGGGAATTACCTCAGCCTGGGCCTCTCCCAAAGCCTACCCTTCTCTCGTGGCACGGTGCATATCGCCTCGTCGGACCCGGACGCGCCCCCGACCATCGACCCTCGTTACTTCTCGAACCCACTCGATCTAGACATCATGGCCCGTAACCTCCTGGACGTGGAGCGACTCCGCGGTCTGAAGCCCATCGCGGATTATCTGGAGGTGGATGGACGACGCAATCACCCCGACGCCTTTCTCACGGATCTAGCATCCGCCAAGAAATACCTCCGTGACACAGCCACCACTACCTATCATTCATGCGGGACTGTGGCTATGCTTCCCCGAGAGGAAGGAGGAGTGGTGGACGAGCGCTTGCGGGTGTACGGAACCACCAACCTGCGTGTCTGCGATGCGAGTATCTTTCCTTTGATTCCAGCTGCAAATATCATGTCAACTGTGTATGCGGTGGCGGAAAGGGCGGCGGATATTATCAAAGCTGACGCTTAGCTGATCTTGTACGATTCAGAGATTTCTGTTACACTTGGGAGTATCTTACGAGCGTGTAGCGCATCACGTTTCATTTACTCATGCTGTAGTAAGTTCGTTCTTTATGTGGTCTAGTTGTAGACCGAATGCCGCCTCGGCAAACAGTAGCTAAGGTCTTTTTACCTGGTCTATGAGTATCGCGATAAGCTATGAGTATCGCGATAAGAAGGCAAGTGAGGAGGTCTAAACAAGTCTAAGTTATTCTCGTTAATAATCCATTCAGGACCAGAACAAGGAACCTATTTCAAGCAACTCATATTCTAGGATGGCTTTTTACCTACTCAGCAGAGTGGCTGGATATACTAAGCATTAACACCACGGCTAGGCGTGAAAGGTGAGGGTTTTAGTCATCGTTCACACCCTCTACTGAAGGCCTCTGGTAGAATAAGTGTAATGAACAGTTTGGTGCCTTCCTTGTGTATATAGCACCTCTGGTATCTAGTTACGGTAGACGGTCCACAGACAATTGCAGGAATAGCTTAGTTGCCCGATTTCCCCCCCTTATCTGCAGTATCGAATAATCCTCAGTGCGCGTGCACCGTCTGCAGTGCCAGTGTAAGCACCTGATAACTCATTTACAAGGTAGATCTTCCACGGGGTGACAGGCAGCAGTGACTATCTATACCCTCACAAATCCATCCTTACTCTGTGCTCTGATACGGACTTGCGTTGCGGGAAGCTACCCGAGGCCTGAAGCCTCGCCACAATTGTTTCGTCAATTCGGTGCAGCCTCGTGAGCTGCAGTAATGCTGACAGGGGTGTTGCTTGTATGGTCTCAGTCCCAGGAGTCTCTACTTCTCCCCCGGTCCGACCAAGCAATACTAGAGTAGTTCGTCTCGGGGGAGCGGGGCCAAAGCGGCAATGCTGACTATGTCCGCAGCATTGTGCTCTCCCACGTGTATCACATAACCCTCCTTTTGCTTCCCCAATTTCCTCCATTGGAACTCTCAGAAACGAGCAGTCCCGGTGGTGGTATTCATCAAGAAGTATGACGACAACAGATGGGATGACTGACCTAACCACTCCTCGCAAATACCATACATATCACAAGAGCCCTCGTAGAATCCACTAACCGCCCTCTGTCCTGGTGGCGCACACAACAGACAGAACTAAGAACCGAACATGCCCGATCCAGATCCATCCACCACCAAGAAACCGACCATACGCGCTGTGGTCTTCGACGTTCACCCGTACAAAGTCCACGTGCGCACCCTCCCCAAGCCGACGATCGTCCGGCAGACTGACGCGGTCGTGCGCCTCACGGCGGCGGCCATCTGCGGCTCCGACCTGCACAACTACCACGGGGTCTTCGGCAGCCGCGAGGTGCCCTACCCACTGGGCCACGAGGGCATGGGCATCGTGGAGGATGTCGGGGCGGAGTACAGTCCCTCAGGCTCGGGGACCGCGTCGTGGTGCCCGATTTCCCGGCCCGAGGGCGGCTGGATGGGGGCTGTGATGCGGTCGAGCAGGAGTTGGTGGCCTTTGGGGAGGGGAAGGATTTTGGGGGGTTGGGGGGGGGGGGTATCGAGGTGTGCATTCCCTTTGTTTCTTAGATTGAATTGGGAGGGCTTTTAGCAACTGGTGCACAGCCCCTCCACCATACAACCGTATTGTCCTTCTTCTGACGGGAAAAAGCGGAATACGATCGCGTCCCGCACGCAGACCAAACCCTGATCATCCTGGGGCCGCCCTTTGACTCGATCGACGACGCCGACCTGGTCCTCCTGAGCGACATCTTCCCCACCGGCTGGACGGGAGTGAGCTGGTCCGGCTTCGAGGCCGGCGACACGATGGCCATCTTCGGCGCAGGGCCCGTCGGATTGCTCGCTGCCTACTCGGCGCTCCTGCGCGGCGCATCGCGGGTCTACTCGGTGGGTGGACTGCGTGGCGGCGTTGATTGGCGCCATCCCAATTGACTTCACGCACGCCGATCCTGCAGCGCAGATCCTGGCCCGGGAGCCCGGTGGCGTTACGCGTACGGTCGACTGCGTCGGCGAGGAGTGCGTCGACGGCCAGGGCCAGTCTGATCAGTCGTACGTGGTTGCCCAGGCGATCCAGAGTACCCGCGCAGGCGGCGGGCTGGCGGTTATTGGGGTGTACTTTGTGATGCCGACGTCCCCTGGCGTGCGACGCGGGGATGCCATCTCGCCGACGGTGACGTTCCCGCTGTCGGGGGTGTGGATGAAGGGCCTCACTCTGCGGGCCGGGGCGGTAGACGCGAAGTCCGTGATGGCGCCGCTGCTGGAGCTGATCCGCGTGGGGAAGGCGAGGCCGGGGTTTGTCTTTTCCTCGGTGGTGGATATCGAGCACGCGCCGAAGGCGTATCGTAGGTTCTCGAAGCGGCTGGAGATTAAGGTCTTGATTCGGTTTGAGGGCGGGGATAAGGCTGGGACACAGGGCGCTGGTGGGAGTAGGCTGTAGTAGAAAACCGAGATGATTCGTCTCTGGCTTTGATGGATGCTTGCGGTGAGACTGGAAGGATCATTTACAGTCACTAGCGTTGTAGTCGTCATCCGTAGAGATGTTTAAGCTGTCTATTGGCTCTAGTAGTCGTCTCATTCTGCTGGCGTAATAGTGTCAGCTTGGGGATCATCTATGCACTGTATGGTACAACCAGGTAGAACGGTCCAGATGTTAGGGCTAAAGTCTCCTCAACAGATACCTGCAACCCATTCCTAGTTCACCAGAAATTGTGGTGCATGACAAATGTCCACACTAGCTATCTATCATCACCAATGACCCGGACTGCAGTACTACAGTACCACAGTACACCAACCACAATCCATCACGCGGCAATCCCTCAAGCCCCAACCGTCTTCCGCAACCGCGGCTCCAGCGGAAACACCTGCTCCTCGACCTTCACATCCTCGTAGACGATATCCCATCGCTTCCGCAGCGGCTCGGGCGTCTCCCACGCGTATTCCGGATCGCGCAGCCACAATCGCAGCAAATGGCGTCTACGACTCTCTGTTAGCACAACACACACACCTCTTATCCGACTGAATGGGTTAAGTGAAGATCGACGTACTCCTTCCCCGGCTCATCCCGGAACCCGTTCCGGGCGTGGAAGATGCTCAGGTTGTTGATGTACTGCACATCGCCCTTCTGGAAATCCAGCGCGGCACTGTGCTGCTCGGCCAGGAAGTGCAAGGCGTCCAGGGCCTCGGCCTGCGCCTCGGTGATTGGCGGGATGTCCGCGGAGCGGGGCTGTGCCTGGAACCCGGTGAAGTAGCGGCGGGCGTACTGGATGAGGACGCGGTCTGGGGTGGATTCGGTGGCGGGCTGGAAGTAGAGCAGGGGTCGCTTGGTGTAGGGGGAGGCTGGGTTGTTGAAGCTGTGTGTTTGTCAGTATCCTCTGACTTTGATGTTCTAGGTACAGCGGTGAAGTGCAGAGCCGGCTGCATACCCATCTACCACCCAGTCCTGCGACAGGGTGTGGATCAGATCCGGCCGCTCCCGCGCGAGGATGTTATACACCAGCCAACTGCTGGCGATCTTGCTTTCGCCGCCGGATGCCGCTGGGTGGAGGCACAGCAGAGAGACGATGTCCCCGGCGTCCGTGTGGAAGACCTGCTTATCGGCCGTGTTGGAGGGCGCGCCGATGGTGCCGGTCGGGGTGATGCGCGTGATGTCCTTGATATGCGAGAGTACGAGTGACGTGCCGGTGGAGAAGCGCTGGTCCTCCTGCCGTCCGCGGATGTTGCCGACGTGCGCTGACACCCCGGCGTAGATGATGATGTTGTCTTCCCGTGAGTAGTGGTCGATGCGCAGGCCGCGCAGGACGAAGAATCCCCGGCCCTGGTGCAGTTCCCTCGATTGCTGGCGGAGGCGATCGTGCAGCGTCGGCAGGGGGAACGTGGATTGATCAATCGCTCCCCAGGGGAGATTGCGCGCTGTAATGATTGGGGGGGTGGTCAGATATCAGACACGATGGATGATGAGTAGGGCTGGTTAGGGCTGGGCGTTGATGCCCTAACCTACCTTTGAAGCTCTGCAGGGCGCCATCGATCTCATCCAGCTCGGTCTCCGTCAAACGCACCACCCAGTCATCGCGTGACTCAACATCCTTGCCTTCCCACACGAGGTTGGAGACCAGTTCCGTGGGAAAGCCGTCGGGTACGGTCTCGGGGAGGGTTTCCGTGGCCTTGCGTCGGGCAGTTCGGGCCTGGTATTTGTCCCAGTCGGGATGATATTGAATGTCAGGCTGGACGAGAGTCTCGACGGCAGTCATGGCGAATGTGCGCGCGTGCGTGTTGATTTGTTTGAACACAGCTGGAATCAGTGCGGGGGTTCTTATCTATTCTTATCTGTGCTTATGGCGACGTTGAGAGCTAAGATGTGGTGATGGCCGGGATGCAGCACGCCATTGCTCCACCCATGCATGCATGCGCGCGCCATTTCAATCCGGCATCTTCCACGATCCTGAAGTGCTCTCTTCACCACCTCCACGTTTCTATCCCCCTCAGAAAGTCTCAATCGGAAATTGGTCGTTCGCCCACATGCTCACCAGAATCCTGCGATCCCCCGTCCACGGTTTGCGCCCGTGCGACACCTGGAAATTATCCACCAGCAACAGATCCCCTTCCTCCAGACAAAGATCGATCTCGAGACCATCCACCACCTCCTCCAAACGTTGCAAATATTCTGCGGGGATGACGGTCCCATCGCCATAGTCGCACGGCAGATCTGTTCTCACTCGTCAGCATTCAAACGGAGTGTCCGGAGGGGGGTCCATCCTACATGTCATTCCATCGCGCCCCAGATACGGTGGCTCCAACGCGCCCAGATCGCGCGTCATCCCATATCGACCGACCAGCCCGTTGAACCAAACCGGTCGTCCGCTAGCAGGAGCGCGTCGAATTCCTGCGGCAGAATCAGTATTGCACGCACATTTAGGGATTGGAGAAAAAGGCCTACCCGGAATATGCTGCGTCAACTCCAGCGTATCGTCCTGCAGCCACCGAAAGGTCGGAGTGAGCCGGCGCACCTGCGCCTCGACCTTGGCCTTCTGCGTGTCGCGATCATCCCCCGGCTCGAACTCCTGTCCAAAGCTGTGCTCGCCCGCCCAGTTGAACTCGTTTCCCCGTCCCTCGTGACCCGGGGCCCGGAAGACCATCTTCATGGCCAGGCCCCGCTGGTGGACTTCGTGCACGAGGGCAGGGACCGCATCCTGCAACCTCTCGTAGACCAAGGCGCTGTGCGCGATCGGGGTTTCACCACCGTGCGGGGCTTTCGTCTGGCAGTAGAAATGGATGTTGGAGGGGAAGCGCGTGTAACGTGAGTACTGGGTAGAACAACCTCGTCAGCCACTCGTCCACTCGGTCGCTTTCGAAGGGAATGTAGTACTAGGTACAACAGCCTACCTCATTGTGCTGGTAGAATCGACGATCAGACGGTCCCTCGTTGGCCGTCCATACGTTCTCGGCCACCAGGGTGCGTTTCCCGGCGAGGCCTATTTGCTCGAACGGATGGGAGCCACGCGCTCGTTCGGCGGCGTTGACGAGTCGAGCGAACGTCTCCGCGGAGGGATGGCCGACCCCGCGGATGAGAACGGCGCCATGTCGCTGCAGCAGCTCGGACAGGCGGCCGGACTCAGCGAGGGAGGTGATGGCTAGCACGGCATCATCGATAGTCGGCACGTCACTACTGCTGGCTGCTCCATCCGGGCGGTGGACTTCCAGTCCGTAAGGAAAAGCATTCCCATGCACGGTCTGGGCGCCGGGCACGTCGAATGGTTGAAAAGTCGTAGTCATAGTTTAGACAGTCATTGGTGTTTTGGTACTTGAAAATGGAGCTCTCTCTCCCACATCGGCCATTTATAGGGGCTGCGGATCGGGGTGGAGTGGGGTTGGTGGGAATAACGCCATCCCAGCTGCAGCTGAACTCATCCACTAAGACTTAGCCCTCTTGGCAGCTTAATTCCCTTCGGAGTCAAGCCGACAGGATTCCACGAGCTTGCAGGTCGTGGCGTCTATCACGTCATTTGCTGATCGGGACTAAGGGTTGATCTGATAAGTATATAACCTGCTCCGCCACAAGCGGGAAACTATGGCTGCATGTTTGGGCCGGAGTCAAAATGGGCAGCGACACAATTTCCAAGGCAACAATCCAGATGAACTCGTCGCATCCCGATGATGACAGTCTCAAGGCCGGGGAGCGACTCACAGTCAACGAGAATCATGTGCTCCAGGATCGCAAGATCGGAGTGCTTGGGGCTATCTCGCTGATTGTCAACAAAATCATCGGTGCCGGGTTAGTCCACGCATCTGCCGATTCCAGGACATTGTGTTTCTTGCTAATAGGGATTAGAATCTTCTCCACCCCCTCGACCATCTTCAAGCTTTCCGGTAGTGTCGGGCTGTCGCTGATGCTCTGGGTGATTGCCGGCATCATCTCCGCCTGCGGAGCACTGGTCATGCTGGAATTCGGCAGCGGGATTCCTCGCTCCGGGGGTATCAAGGTGTACCTGGAGCGATCTTTCGCCCCCAAGCGCATGCAGACCTGCATCTACCTCTTCTTCTGCCTATTTCTGCAGGTCTCTGCTAGCAACGCCATCACCGCCTCGGAGTACCTCCTGTCTGCGGCCGGGGTGGAGTCGACAACCTGGAAGGAACGCGGGCTGGCCATCGCAGCGGTCTCCTTCGCCGTGGGCGTGCACACGGTGGCGCCCCGGGCGGGCCGGGCGATGCAGGATGTGCTGAGCATGGTCAAGCTCTTCACACTGCTATTCATCGTGTGCACGGGGTTCGCCGCGCTGGCGGGGCACCTCCGCATCCCCAAACCCCATAACTTCGACGTGAAGACCTCCTTCGAGGGCACCTCCAACAATGGATACGATATCGGCACTGCTCTCCTCGACGCTATCTTCTCCTACCAGGGCTACGACAACGTGAATGCCGTCCTGTCCGAGGTCAAGAACCCCGAACACACCCTCCGGATCGCCCTTCCCTGCGCCATGGGCATCATTACCGTGCTATATGTCCTCGCCAACGTGGCCTACGTAATCGTAGTCATGCTTCAGGATACCGTGACTGACCTCCAGTATCCTGGGTAAATAGTTTGCCGGCGTGCCCAAAGAAGAATTCCGCACCGCCAGCGTCACAATCGCAGCTAGTCTCTTCCGCAACGTCTTCGGCGAAACCGCCGCCACGCGAGCCCTCCCCGCGCTCGTTGCCCTATCCGCCATCGGCCATCTCCTAGGAGTGGCATTCGTTGTCCGTAAGTTCTCTTCAGCCCCCGAAATCTCCACTCCAGCTAATGTGTCCCAAAACATAGCGCGCCTTCTCCAAGAACTCGCCAAAGACGGCATCACCCCGTTCCCGGACCTCATGATGCAGAACCGGCCCTTCAAGACCCCGATCGCCGCGCTGATCGTGCACCTCGGGGTGACGGTCCTGTTCATCTGCGCCCCGCCCGCGGGG